GCAGCCATTACCAATCACTTCCTAGATTCATTATTTCATCAAGTTTTCAAATGGTGATATCTAGTTCTAGTATTTCCTTTTAATTATTAATTGGAATACCTTTATAAAGAAAACTTTCTCTCATTAACTATTTTGTTACTTTAAGATACACTTTGTACAGTGAAGGCAAGATACATATTGATTTGTAACATTTTTGATGTGTTTCCACCCACTGTGGTTGTTAGACCTGAAATTAGCCATCTCTCAAGGCACACTGCTTCCTTTTGATGAGAAATTGTGGTTAGAGAACATACTCTGTTACTAATTAAACTTTATTTCTATGCCTTTTGGAGTATCAGAGATAGGAATATACTGTTTTGTATTTTTTTTTCCTTTTTTAAATCCTCACCCGAGGATATTTTTACATTAATCTTCAGAAAGAACTGGAGAGAGAGAGGAAGAGAGAGAGAGAGAGAGAGAGAGAGAGAGAGAGAGACATCAATGTGAGAGAGACACATTGACTGGTTGCCATCCACACAACCCCACCCAGGGCCGGGGATGAACCACAACCAAGGTATGTACTCTTGGCTGGAATCGAACCCGGGACTCTTTGGTCCACAGGAGATGCTCTTACCGCTGAGCTATACCAGCCAGGGCAGGAATACACTGTTTTTAAAAAAGTACATTATGGATATCCATTATATGGATATTTTCAACTTACATTTAGAATTACATACCGAGATACCTTCTTATAGAATCTACTAGTATAGCTAAGTAGAAAGGAAAAAGCCAAGTGGAGATATAAAATAATGTATATGCTCTAGTTCTGATTCAGAGATGATGGAGGATAGGTCAGTCTGGATGTCATATGTGCCTATGAAACGGACACATAAAAATGAATAAATGTAGGACTTCCGGTTAAGATGGCAGCGTAGGTAAATGCAGTCTTGCCTCCTCCCACAACCACATCAAAATTACAACTAAACTACAACACAACCATCATTCAGAACCACCTGAAATCAAGCTGAATGGAAGTCCTACAACTACGGAATTAAAGCAGCAGCCACATCCAGACTGGTAGGAGGGGCGGAAACGGAAGGGCTGGTCTCACACCTACGTGTCGAAGATAAAAATCAGGAGGACACCTCGGCTGGGAAGGTCCTCCCTGAGGACTGAGGGGTCCCCATGCCACACCAGGCACCAGTTCAGAGTTCCAGTGCCAGGAAGAGAAGTCCCCGTAACTTCTGGCTGGAAAAACCAGCAGGAACTGAGGCTCAGGGAACTGAGACTGGAGCCTCAGGCAGCTCCCTAAAGGGCCCGCGCACAGACTTACTTGGACTTGCTCTCTCTAAGCTCAGAGGGGAGGCAGCTTGAGGGGTGCCAGAGACATACAGGGAAAAACTGAGCTGTTTGGCCTTGGGATGAGGGCTGGAGAGGCGGCTTTCTCTGGGACAGACGTGCTAGCAGAGGCTAATGTTCCTTTTGTGAGCCCTTCCCTGGGGCGGCAGACAGCCGCCATATCTGGGACTCCAGCAACCTGGCTCACACTGGTAACCCCGCCCTGGTGACTCCCTGAGGCCCCACCCCACCCAACTTTTGGGTCCACCCAAACTATTGCCACTTGCTTAACCATAGGATTGGCCTGTCTTGGATCCTGCTTCAGAGTTTCCTAAAATCTCTCAAACAAGCAGCATAGGGTCTCAGCGAGCCCCAAACCTCTCGTTAATTGGCCCAGGCCTGGCACTAGAAGCAACCAGCCTTGGTTCACAATTTGGCTTTTCCTGGGCACCTTCAAGCCCAGCACAAGAAGCAGATACTTTGTATTTTATGCCTGGTGACCCTGGATAGAACACAGGCAGTGGCTGACCTTGCTCTAGAGCCAGCACACCCAGTGGACAGCTTCACTCAGTGGAAACCAGAGCCCTGAAGATGTAAGTCTTCTGTGTGGTGGGCCCCTGCACAGCTGATCATCCAAGGTAGTCAGAGGCCAGTGGTCAGTGGGCACAGCCAGTCCTTGCAGCTGATCAGTCTGAGTAAATCCCTCCCATTGACGTTCCAACAGCAATCAAGACTCAATTACAACAGATGGGTATACAGTCCGCACTAGGGGTGCATCTTGATGGCCCAGCTGGGTAATCAAGGAGGTTGTGCCACTGGATCCTACAGAATACCTACTACAATAGGCCACCTTATGAAACCTAGGAGACATAGCAACTCTACCTAATACATAGAAACAATCATAAGGAAGCAGCCAAAATGAAGAGACAAAGAAACATGTCCCAAATGAAAAAGAAGAACAAAACTCCAGGAAAAGAATTAAACAAAATGGAGATAAGCTATCAATCAGATGCAGAATTCAAAACACTGGTTATAAGGTTGCTCAAGGAACTTAGAGAGATATTCAAGGAACTTAGCAAGACCTTCAAGGAACTTAAGGAGACCTCTGAGGAACTTAGTGACAACATCAATAACATCAAAAAGGACCAGTCAGAAATGAAGGATGCACTAACTCAGTGGTTCTCAACCTTTCTAATGCTGTGACCCTTTAATACAGTTTCTCATGTTGTGGTGACCCCCAACCATAAAATTATTTTTGTTGCTACTTCATAACTGTAATTTTGCTGCTGTTATGAATCACCATCAGAAATATGTGTTTTCTGATGGTCTTAGGTGACCCCTGTGAAAGGGTCATTCGACCCCCAAAGGGGTGCAACCCACAGGTTGAGAACTGCTGCACTAACAGAAATAAAGAATAATTTACAGAGCCCTGGCCAGTTTGGCTCAGCGGTTGGAGCATCAGACCGTGGACCAGAGAGTCTCGGGTTCGGTTCTCCCTAAGGGCACGTAACTCGGTTGCAGTTTGTCCCCAGCCCCGGTTGGGGTCGTGTGGGTGGCAACCAGTTGATGTGTCTCTCTCACATCAATGTTTCTCTCTCTCTCTTACCCCCTCTCCCACTCCTGCTCTATCTGAAGATAGATGAAAGAAAAAGAACAAAATAAAAAAAGAAAAAAATCCTCAGGTGAGGATTAAAAAAAAAGAAGAAGAATTTACAGGGAATCAATAGTAGAGTAGGTAAAGTCAAAAAACAAACCATCGATTTGAAATATAAGGAAGCAGAAAACACCCAATCAGAACAGCAAAAAGAAAAAAGAATACAAAAAAATGAGGATAGTGTAAGGAGGCTCTGGGACAACTTCAAGTGTGCCAACATTCACATCACAGGGGTGCCAGAAGGAGAAGAGAGTGATCAAGAAGTTGAAAACCTATTTGAAATAATAATGACAGAAAAATTCCTTAACTTGGTGAAGGAAACAGACATGCAAGTCCAGGAAGCACAGAGAGTCCCAAACAAGTTGAATCCAAAGAGGTCCACACCAAGACACATCATCATCAAAATGCCATGGGTTACATACAAAGAAAGAATCTTAAAAGCAGCAAGAGAAAAGCAGTTTATTACCTACAAAGGAGCTCCCATAAGACTGTCAGCTTATTTCTCAAAAGAAACTTTGCAGGCCAGAAAGGAGTGGCAAGAGATATTCAAGGTGATGAAAAGCAACAACCTACAACCAAGATTACTCTATCTTGCAAAGCTATCATTTAGAATCAATGGACATATCAAGACTTTCCCAGAAAAGAAAAAGCTAAAGGAGTTCATCACCACCAAACCAGTATTATACCACCAAACCAGTATTATATAAAATGTTGAAGGGTCTTCTTGAAGGAGAACAACAAAAAATGAACAATAAAATGGAAATTAATAAATATCTATCAACAATTGAATTTACAAACAAAATGAGCAAGCAGAATAGAAACAGACTCCTAGATACAGAGAACTTTTTGTTGCTTGCCAGATGGGAGGGGGCTGAATAGATATGAAGAAGATGAAGGAATTAAGAAGTACAAATTGGTTGTTAGACTGACAATCCTCAAAGGGAAGTGGGGGGGGGGGGGGGGAGAAGGCTGGATGAGATAAACCAAAGAACTTCTATGCATATATGCATAACCAGTGGACTCAGACAAAGTGTGGGGAAGGTAGGAGGGGTGGCAGGATTGGGGAGGAGGGGGTCAATGGGGAAACAAAGGGGGGACATCTATAATACATTCAACAATAAAGATTAGTTTTTAAAAAATGGATGGATGGTAAAGAATTCTTTGAAATGACCTATTACCTCTGTGCCTATCTATGGAACTTACCCTTCTTCTAAAACCATGTGGTTTACCTGTTGGCAAATACACTCAAGTGATGGTGTTATGTTATGGAGTCCAGTAAGTGCCAGGACGACACACACAATCTCACTTGATTGTCACAACTTCTCAGACTTCCATAGTGTATATTTTACATGCTAATCTTTGATTTACTTGAAATTTATTTTAATGTATAGTGTAGGGTAGAAATGTAGCTTTTGCTCCAAATCATTACTCAGTTGTTCTCTACCATTGATTGGAACATCTTTCACATGCTCAATGACACCTTTATCACATGCTATATTCTTATGTGTACTTGAGCCTTTCTACCTGGTTCTAATATCTTTCTGTCTATCCCTGTACTCATTACCCACTGTTTTAATTATTATTCCTCTATGGTACATTTTTGCATTTGTTAGGAGCCTCTCATTCTCTTCTTACACCTAACTACAGTTATACAATGTCTTTAGTTTTCCCTACACATAGCATTTGTTTTCCAGATGAACTTGAGAATCATTTGCCCAAGTTCCATTTAAAATATTGTGGAATTTTGATGACTAATAACTATAAAATATTATTTGACATAAAAGAGATTTAGAGGATACTAGAGCCATTTTCCAAAATCAGAGGTTTGTCTTTATTTTTGTTTTGGATTTGAATTTTTTTTTTGTGTGTGTGTGTGTGTGTGTGTCTTTATTACCAAGGTAATTTATAAATGTTTGATTTTTATTTAACTTACTCTTTTCAGGATAGCATTTTTTATTAGCAACTTATTTTACTGAATTTCCATAAATTTTATTGAATTCTAATCTTGACCTTATTCTTCATTAATTAGAATTAATTTCCTGTCCAAGCAATGCATCTGAATGCAGCCATGACTGTGTTCTGACTTCAGATGGTCCCTTATGTTTCTGTCCTGAAGGCTCAGTGCTTGAAACAGATGAAAAAACATGTAGTGGTAAGTTTATTTATTTTCTGTTTGTTTGAAAATATTCATTTTCTAAATGACACATAACATTTGCATCTTATTGGCAAAGAAGAAATATTTTCCAACATTCCATACACATCAAAAGATCTTTATACAATGAATTAGCATAGTTTTAAATGATATTTTTGTTGTTTTTATTTCATTTTTTAAAATTTTCGCTTGAGGATATTTTTCCACTTATCTTCAGATAGAGTGGGGGGGGGGGGGGAGAGAGAGAGAGAGAAAGAGAGAGAGAGAGAAGAGAGAGAGAGAGAGAAACATTGATTGACCAGAAGTGATCCCTCGACTCTGGTCTTTGGGCTGACGATTTAACCACTGAGCCAAACCAGCCAGGGTGTGTTGTTTTAGATTTTAGATAACATAATGTAGTGGCTATGAACAAGAGCTTTGAAATTAGACAACCCTGAGGTGGCATTACCAGTTATTAGCAGTGTTATTTTGGACTAGTTACTTGTTCTCTCTTGCTCTCAGTTATCTCATCTGTAGGGGTTAACAATACCTACCTCCTGGATTTGTAGCCAGGATTAAGCAGATGGTGGATCTCAAGTGCTTAGCCTAGCCCTGGCCGGTTTGGCTCAGCAGTTAGAGTTCGGTTCCTGCTAAGGGCACGTACCTTGGTTGCAGTTGGTTGGGGTCGTGTGGTTGGCAACCAGTCGATGTGTCTCTCTCACATTGATGTTTCTTTCTCTTTCTTCCCCCCTCCCTCCCTCCCGTTCTATCTGAAGATAAAGGCAAAAATGTCCTCGAGCGAGGATAAAAATAAATAAATAAATAAAATAAAGTGCTTAGCCTGTTCCTTGCACCTATAAATATCTCTCTGCTTTTATCTTCATAGACTTAAGCATATAGAGGGATGGATGTAACTCAAAATTAGCAGAAGACTTACATGTGGCTTTTTTTTTTTTTTTTTTTTTTTTAAATAAAAGAAAGCAAAAACAATCAATAGACCAAAATGTGTGTGAGAGAAAAATATATTACCCACTAGGAGGAGTGAGACCAGTTGCTAAACTCATCAAAATGTATTTTGTATTCCAGCCAGCTGCTGATGCATGTGGTCTTAAACTCAGCTGTGGAATAAGAGGGCAAGGGCCATTGGGATGAGAAGGGTTAACATTCAAGGTGTTAGGTTATAGGGAATTGGAGTACAGTGACATTTTGCTTCTAATTTCTGAAAAATAAACTTGATTGCAGCAATATGAATGACTGTGGAAATGGTATTAAAAATCAACATAGACTTGGCTCACCTCAATATTTTGATGGAAAATTGTTATCTTTTTGAATGACATAGCATCATTACCAAACAATTGTTTTTTTTGTAGGCTGCTCATCACCTGATAATGGTGGATGCAGCCAACTCTGCCTCGCTCTCAGCCCAGTGTCCTGGGAATGTGCCTGCCTTCCTGGGTATGACCTTCAGCTGGACAAAAAAAGCTGTGTAGCTTCAGGTTAGTGCTGTGGGTGTTTGAAAGTGTGTCTCTGCAAAAGTAGGTGAAAACATTTCATTTAGAAAGACAGAGCATAGCCCTGGCTGGTTGCTCAGTGGTTAGAGCGTTGGCCTGCGGACCATAGAGTCCTGGGTTCGGTTCCTGCTAAGGGCACATACCTCAGTTGCAGTTTGTCCCTGGCCCCAGCTGGAGTTGTGCGGGTGGCAACCAGTCCATGTGTCTCTCTCACATCGATGTTTCTCTCTCTTCCTCCTTCTCTCCCTCCCACTCTATCTGAAGATAAATGCAAAAGTGTCCTCTGGTGAGGATTTTAAAAAAAAGAGCATTACATTGCTGTTGGCTTCTGGACGGAAAGTCTGATTTTTTACTTTTGAAAATAAAAAACAAATTACATTATATATATAAAAATATAGATAATGATCATATATATAATAATCATGTTTTTGAGGAATATTTAGAAATTAGGATTCAGCAAAGATTTGCTATACTGTCAAGTGTGGTATTTCAGTATATGTGAAAGTCATGACCAGAATAGATTTAAACACTTTGTGGTTAGGAAGAATTGAATAAATATTTGTTGATTTGATTTTCAACTCTCCAGTGAATGTAGTAATAATAATACTTTGACAAATTCTGTGTTTTTTTCTTTCAATCCTCACCCTTGGATATTTTTTCGTTTATCTTCAGATAGAGTGGGAGGGAGGGAAAGAGAGAGAGAGAGAAACATCGATGTGAGAGAGACACATCAATTGGTTGCTTCCCACACACCCTATACCAAGGCTGGGGACTGAACCACAACCGAGGTACATGCCCTTGAACCTGTGACTCTTTGGTCTGAGGGCCAGTGCTCTAACCGCTGAGCCAAACCAGCCAGGGCAACAAATTCTGTTTATTTGTTTTGTTTTGTTTGTATTTAATTTTTTTTTCTTTATTGATTTTAGAGAGAGAGGAAGGGAGGGGGAGAGAAAGACAGAAACATCGATGAGGGAGAACATCAACTGGCTACCCCCCTCATAACCTCCCACTGGGGATCGGACCCACAACCTAGGCATATACCCTGACCAGGAATCAAACCAGTGACCTCTTGGTGCATGGGTCGACGCTCAATCACTAATCCACACCGGCCGGGCAAATTCTGTTTTTTTTTTAAGTCAGAATTTAATATGAAGCTGTATGCTTCAACTCTTTTTTTCTTTCATCTGCTAATGTTACATCTTTTGTGTCCTTTAATGGCCTTGGAAATCCTAGATTTATACCCGATTGACTTCATTTCTCCTGAGGTTCATCATGCTTGTAATCTGGGATAACTTAATGATGAGCCTGAAGAGTTTGCTTTAGTCAGCCCAGTACTCTTAATTTCCCAGGGCCTTAGCTAAACTGCACAATTTGAGCTCTGAAAAATCAACAAGGGTCTTGATATTAACTCAAATAATCATGCTTCCGTTTTAGAAGTTCTCAGGCTAGAGAACGGTATTTATTTGGACACGAATTAATCCAATCTGCTAATACTAGTATGTTTCGGTATGTGTGAATAGAGATTACAGCACGAAAACTTGTACCACTTACTTATGCTGTTGGTCATTTCATGCTGGCTCTTTCTCTAAGTAATTTGTATTTTAAAAGCAGGCCCCTAGACAGGGAGCAATCCAGTGATGACATTCTGGCAGTGTGTCAGCTCATGGAAGAGGAACTCTTCTTGCCTGTCCCAACCTACCAGCACTGGTGGGAAGTGAAGAAAACAAGTACCGCAGACACTCAGGAAGAGGGCGCAGTGGAAGGGGAGAGTCAGAAGTGCCTCTTGGCTTTCAAGGCATATTTTAAATGGAGCCATGTTTGAATTTGGTTATTAGGACCACAGCCGTTTTTGCTGTTTGCCAATTCTCAAGATATTCGACACATGCGTTTCGATGGAACAGATTACGGCATCCTGCTCAGCCAGCAAATGGGAACGGTGTTCGCCCTAGACCACGACCCTGTGGAAAACAAGGTAATGCTTGGTTTCTGGAACTGATGTGGCTGTGCTTGAAGCACAGGGTAGAGATTCCATCCTAACAGATAACCTGGGCTGCTTGAAAATCCTCCGCAAAGCCCAGAACCCTTAGGCACAGAAAAATGTGAATACAGACATTGAAACATCATTTGAGAAATTTTAAGGATTTTCTGTTCTCAGAACCCTGGTTCTTGATGTGAATCAGCCATTTTATTGGAGATGATTGAGCAGGATCTTAAGTTTAGACTTGTTTCGGGACATGAGGATGGGAGCCTAGCACAGTGCTGTACACATAGGAGAAGCCCACAGAACAGATTTTGATTATTTGATGGTAGTGGGAGAAGTGGGACGTTGGGTGGGGCTTAGGAAGGATGGGTTAGTAATCTGCATTTAATCTATGTCATTGAGGAAGGGAATTCAATGACCTCTTAAGCACAAAAATCAGGAAAAGGAAGTTGTATGGCTCATGTGGGAATGGCAGTCTAGGTCATGAAATTATTTACATAATAATCAACTCTTACATGAAGATTTTGTATGTAACATAGAATTTCTGTATTATCAACCTAATCAGTTGACGATTTGATCTTTCTTGGTGGTATTTGTGCTAAGTTAGAATGTGCTTGAAATAATATGTTATGGTGTCTTTGGGGGATGAATCACCCATATTTATTCACTTGCACAGTTATTAATCTCCCTTTATAATTACTTAGTAATGGCTAGATTAATTCCTAGAATTTTAAACTTTGTGCTTTTGTTTTTTTCCTGATTTGAAGCATCTGGTAAATGGCCAAAAAAGAGTGAAGCAAATTGATTCTGTGTTTGATTGCTATGGATTGATGCCAAATATAACACATTTTGCAAATAGAAATTTAGCAATTTAGCACTAACAAATAATTCTTTTCCCTGAGCTGAGTCTATATGACTCCATGGAAGAATTGTATTAAACAGGGAAAAAAATGAATAGGAAAAAATCAGTTCAAGATCTATTTATTACCAAACTAGTCTTTTTCCTGCACGGTCAGCATTTCTATAACTAGGTGAATAAGGAGACCTAGAGTGAACTTTAAGTCATGTGGCTGTCTTTTGTTTCCCTGGTCAAGGTTCTCATTTTCTTGCTTCTCAAACGGTGGTCCTTGGACCAGCAGCACTGACATCACCTGAGCTTGTTAGAACTGCAGGCTCCACCCCTGACCACTGAATCAGACAGAGTCTGCATTTCAACAAGATTTTCAGGTAGTTTGTGAGTCCATTTGAATTTGAGAAGCAGAGTTCTAGCAGATTGTTTTTGAATATGAGAAGTACCAGGGTTTTTTAAAAATTATAAAATAGGACCTTTTCTGTCTTACCTAGAAAGATGAAAACCTATTTATTTAATGAATTACCATTTTGTGAATCCTCTCATCGTTGATTATAGATTTATGTACATATGTGTACTCACAGTTAAAAATCCCACAAGTGCTATCATTAAATTGTAAGCTGACCTACAGCCGTTTTTAACATTCTCATGACATCCTTATACCTGTTTGATAGTCTGCATACTAGACTGAAAAAGAACTTTGTACCTGCAAGGTATGGTTTGTTGGACAATAGCCAGTGTGGATTAATTAAAATGCAATTATATAAGGTAAGAGATGAAAAACAACTTTAGCACATATTTAGTCTAACCCCATCATTTTTACAGTTGAGGACATTGAGGTTGAGTGACTTGGCCAAGGTAACAAAACAAACAAGGGGCGAAACAGAGAAGCCTGTATCCTGACTTGCAGAGAAGTGGAGTCCTGTGGACCGTGCAGTGCAGGACACAGCCCAGCATGCAGCCCCCATTATACTAAAAATCACTTCTCCCTTTTATGCTGCTCAGGGTTCAAGTACAGTGGCTTTGTTACTGACCAACAATCAAAGGTAAATAAATTACTAGTCCCAATAGAACTATGTGCCAGGTGCAGGGCCAAGGAGTTTAATACATGAAAGTAATGTACTTGGCATTATTATCTCCATTTTACCAATGAGGAGACTGAGACTCTGTGACACTGACTAACTTGCTTAGGTTGATGAGTATCTGGGAAGCAGCATGGCTGAAGTTCAGTTGCAGGTGCGTCTATGCCCAAAGCCGAGCTCTCAACAATTCCACTGTATCACACTCAACCCATTTGTATATAGTCTGTATTCATTTTTTTTTTAAATTAAATCACACAGAAATGCCCATGTTCTTTTTGTAGGTCTACTTTGCCCATACAGCCCTGAAGTGGATAGAGAGAGCCAACATGGATGGTTCCCAGAGAGAAAGGCTTATTGGGGGAGCAGTCGATGCTCCAGAAGGTCTTGCCGTAGACTGGATTGGCCGTAAACTCTACTGGACAGACAGAGGGTATGTTCCTCCTCGCCATGTGAGACAGGAGTGATGGGACAGGCAACACCGCTGGCTTCACCCTCCACTTTGAACTTAGGAAATATTGCTGGGGACCTGGCTGGGATTGGAGGAACGATCCCCTGTCCATCCTCCCCTGGCCCCTCCCCACCACCAAGCAGATGTTCCTCTTTTCATTAAGACTGGATCTATAGCTCTAGGAGAATTTTGACGACCAAGAAGTAGCATGTGTTTTTGCACTTCAGGCTAGAAACGCAAAACCTGTCTGAACACAGTCAACAAGCCTTCTCAGCGCTTCGGCTGTGGACAGGGCTTTCTCCCAGATCACACGGGAGGTGCAAAGGAGCAGGAGTAGTGCTTCCTCTTTCCCGGCAGTCACAGGTTAGCCCAGGGGTGCGGCACATATCCACAGGAAAATTAGCGCAGATGCTTGGTCTAAATTTCAGTGCAGAAAATGCCCTAAGGCCATGCATAGACAATTTCCAGATGAGGGTGTCCACTCCCAGAGGGAGTCCTGGAAAGGGCTCCAGGGCCCAACTGGCCCAACTGCCTCCTTTTACAGATGGGGAAACTAAGGCTCAGAAAGGCTAAGTGATTTGTTCAAGGTTACACAGCACACAAGTGATGAATCTTGGACTAGAACCCACATGCTGGCTCTCTAAGTGACATGAAGGAGGAGAGAGAGCTTTGTGCTGGGGTTCAGAGAGAAGCAATGGGGTTTCTGTCTCTGGCACACTGCTCTGTGGCCTCAGGGAGGACTGTGTGTGGCCTGTGTGAGCTCCAGGAAGGGTGGGGGTGGGAGGAGGGTGAGGGAGGAAGTCCCTGCATCCCTCCTGGGTGCTGGGAGAGCCCGCTTCCCTGCTTTGGAGAGGGAGGAAGCTGCCACATAGCACCTCACAGGATAGTGTCAGAGGTGCTCTGTGCTAGAATAGTCTTTGCCCAGAGTCACTTAAAGCCATAAAGTGAAATGGTGGCCAACCTGAACATCTGATCCCTATGCAATCGTATTAAAATAAAAGAAAGGAGAATTAATTAGGGCTTCACATCTGTGAAATCAGCAGCCCCAACATAGAGGGAGAAGTCTCAGGGAACAGGGACTTTACATGCTTAGGGGTAGGCTTTGTATGTCCCAGAAAAATCTCTTTTGGTCTGAATAACCCATGGGAAACAAATGTATTTTAAAAAATGAGCCAGATGTAATGTACAGTGATCAATAATGTGGCACTTCTATATTCAGAATGAGTTTATTTTCATTCATTCATTCATTCATTCATTCAACCATTTCTTCATTCTTATATTCTTTGGGTATTTACTTATTAACTGAAATGTTCCAGATACTGCATTAAGAACTTTATGTCCATGATATCATTAAATCCCCAAAAGATAAATTTTCTTATTCCCAACTTGAAGATGAAAAAATTGGGACTCACAGAGGTAAAATAACTTTACTAAAGTCCAACGGCCTACAAGTGGTGGATCTGGAATTTGAACTCAAGGACAACCACTCCCACAGCTGATGCTTTTAATAATCATAGAAATATTCTGCCTCCCCCAATCAAAATTGATTAAAATGTGCTTGACCCAGAGTCCTATAACAAGTGAAAATCAACATCAGTTGCAGTAATGATAGAAATCATAATAACGGCCTCCTCTGTGTTGAACGTACTTAAAAGGACATTTACAGTGTCAGCTGTGCATAATAACAGAGCTTGTACCCAGCTCTTCTCAGAAGCGTAAACGCTGATCAGGGCAGCAGATGTCAGTGCTGTCGACCCTTCCAAGGATGCCAGGTCCCCTCGCATTTCCTTCGTTTGCCCGGCACCTCTAATTTGAAGAGTGTTTGATTAATGGCACCATGGGCCCTTCAGGACACAGACAGGCACCATATCCTAGAGGAGCAGACCTCGGATTCCCTGGTTCACTGACTTCAGTAATAACAAGCCCTTCTTAAGTCCTCTTTCCTCTAAAAGCAGCTGCTAAAAGAAAACCTTTAATTTGTCTGGAAATGAAAGGTTTATAGTTGGAAAACCTTGATATTAGCTAGAAATTGGATTTAAATAACTGAGATTCCAAGCTTGTGATACTAGATTATATGGTAACTCTCAACCAATCAAAGAACCAGAGTGGGTGCTTCCAGCTTATATTGGCTTAGGAAAAGACAGATTCAAATTAACGTCTAACCGTAGGAAGGAAGCTAATTGATAATTTCGCTGGCAATGCTATTATTTAGTACTAAGGAATCCTGATCCCTAAAGTCAATTGCCCAGTGAAAAAGAATCAAGAGAGTGGAAATATATATCTATTTGCTCATTTTTTTTTTAGATACAAACTACCATGAGGTAAAAAACGCACTTTTCGAGGGTTCTGGATGGACAACTCTTGCCCTGGAAGGAGTGTGGGTCATAGAGGATCCCAGTGACAGTGGGACCAGGCAGCAGTAGGTACAAAGAGAAAGATGTTCCACTAGATTGAAGGTTACTCTTGAACTCAGGGGAGCTCAGCGTCCATGGTGGCCTTAGCTTTGTCATTACTGACACCGCAGTTGGAGACTTGCTTTGTGGCCAAATCAGATAGAAGTGTATTGTTGGGTTAACCCGTTAGGGTGCTTTGAGAGTAAATTCCGGCAGTCCTGCCTGAGACAGCTCCAGAGACAGGCGTTTATGCTGGTCTCAGTTCTCATCCCCTCCCTCCTGCTCGAAAGAGAGAATCTAGAGCTGACGTAACAGCGAGCAGAACCCACAGCCACAAGCATCTTCAGAATCCCTTCCTCGCCCAGGGAACAGGTGCAGTGGCAGTTGTGGCTGAGTGACCTGGACACACTGAGCTCAAAAATACCTTCCACCCAGCAGTATCCTCCTGACAAACACTTCACCTGGGAATAAAATGATCTTTTTAAAGTGGCATTGGCGTATATACTGTTTAAAATCGCCCCAGGCCCTGAGCTGGAAGTTTGTGAAGCCTTTTGGACCCAACACAGGCCCTGACTGATTTTACCTTAGCCTCCCTCCCGCGTACAGCCCATGAGGAGGGATTTATAAAGCCCCTTCCCCAGCCAGTGGCTGGAAAGTACCCTGTAACAAAGCCACCTGCAGAAGATCCCCTTAGCATTTCGTAGAATCCGGAGGGCAGAATGGCCCTGCTTGGTCTCTGGGCAGGCCTGACTCATGCAGACGTTGCCGACGAGAACAAGGGGCAAACCCTTCTCAGATGTTTGCTGAACAAATTCAAGACAGTTATACTTTCACGTTTGCAGTTGAGAAACAGGGCCGGCAGGCAGCACGCAGGCAGGGTGGTGGGCCCTTCCCAGATGTCCGTGAATGTATTAAAGAGAGTTATTTATACTCTCCGGTTCCGGTTCAGCAGGGCAGCAGGGAGGACAGGCGCCCCCGGTGGAAAGGGGTGCTCCTCTCCCCCCGCCCGTGGTCCGTCTGCTCCAGAGCTGCCCAGGTTCCCGCACAGGCCTTTGGCGGGGCGGGGCTTCACAGAATGGATTTCAGCACTTGATTGCACCCGGTTTTCTCCATCCTACTGCCACTGCCCTCGCTCGGTCACCATCATGTCGCCCGCCTTGTCTTCTCTGCATGAAAGCCACAGCACTGTGACTGTGTCACACTCTTTAGGTCTCCCGACTTGGCACCTGCTGATGCCCCTGCTGAGGGTGCTGTTCCCCAACCCACCCCATCCCCCCGCCTGGCTGCCCTGCTCAACGATAAGCTCTGTGAGGACAGAGACGGGCTGGTGTGTCCCCAGCGCGCAGGCCAATTCCTGACACACACCCTAGGTGCTTGCTCAGTCAGGTTTCGTTTGATAAAAAGGTTTGTTTGACAAACACATGGAAACATTAGGAAACAAAAATGTTCTCCTTTGCCAGATTCCAGAGGCTTATTTTTTCACATGTAAAGTTTAGCAAATAATAGTAGCTCAATACTCTCATTTGTACAAGTATCATGTGGAAGAAAATTAGAGTCAACATGCATCTCTCTTACTGCCCTGTGCTGCCGTCTCTGTGGCCCTCTGAGGTCTGCCCTCCCTCCTCCCGGAATCTGTGACCACAAGGCTGACACCTCACCACCGGCTCCTGTCCGTTCCAGGGCAGAGGAGAGGTGGTGAAGAGAAAGGGATGCTGGGATTCACGCCACTGGCTTTGTCCCTGCCAGGCCACTGACATAATCCCCTCTTACCTGATCCTTTCGCTGTGTATTTTAATTGCCTGGGATAAATTTCGGCACGCTAATGAGAAGACTATGTTTAAACAAATAGAATTCTGCCCTGGCCAGTTTCCTCAGTGGTTAGAGCATCGGCCCACAGACCAATGAGTCTCGGGTTTGATTCCCATCAAGGGCACGTACCTCAGTTGCGTTCATCCCTGGCCCTGGTCAGGGTTGTGCGGGAGGCAGCCAGTCAATGTGTCCCTCTCACTTTGATGTTTCTCTCTCTCTCTCCCTCCCTCTCATTCTATCTGAAGATCAATAGAAATAAACAAACAAGTAGAATTTGTGGGCATTAGGTCCTGATTTGTGTGAGTATGTGAATGAGTGTGAGTGTGAATGTGTGTGCTTGCACACACACAATGGGGGTAGTTTAGAATGTCTGTCTGCATTCAGTAAGTAACAGGGAAAAGGAGTATTTTTGTTGAAAAAGTAAAGTTAATGTAACAAGCTCCATTATGTGACATACATTTTAGGAAACCTGTCATTGAAAGCAGTGATTTAAGTGGAAAACATCGTGAAACAATCATTAAGGAGGACATCTCTCAGCCACGAGGAATTGCTGTTCATCCAATGGCCAAGTAGGTACTTGTGAAGTCCAGGTGCCTTCTGCAGAGGTCATGTTTGAAATGCTGATGTCCAAAATCTGTCCTAAGACCTCAGAGTCAATGGGATCGGAAACCAAGAAAATCCACTAGATTTGTCCACATCTTCAGAAATGAGATGACTACCATGATTTCCTAATTTTTAAAAGTTTCTTATTTTCTATTTTTATATTAAAATGTTTATTGTTTAGATACCCTTTTATTTTAATCAAATTCAATTTCTTTCTGTACTTTATTAATCAGTTAGACATAAGCCCATTAAACTGCTTCCTTTAAAAAGCTACATTATTGCTTTCTTGAGCAGAGGATGACAGTTAGATTGTATGACATTAATTCGATTTAGAAAAATCATAAGATGAGTTTAAATGATAGGTCATTCCTAGGTTTAGACAAGACGAAATGGAAATCATGAAAGATTAGAAGATCCTATGTTATTAATTATAAATTAGTGACACATGTTGGTTTAGGTTCAGAGAATTAAGGAGAATCACCAATTCCTTCCTAAATTAAAACAAACAAACAAACAAGAATAAAAACCAACTCTTATATTTACAATGCTCTATGGGAAATAAAATATTGGTAATGTTAATTTATTTGGAGCCAGTCACATGATTAAAAGAATGAGAATATAAGCATCTCTAAACAGACCAGAGAAAAGATACTGACCTCAGAAGATGTTCCTCAGCATAGTTATAGAATGTGACGTATAGAACTTAAAATTAACCAAGTTAACTGAGTACATTGTATAAAACAGGATAAGAGATACTTATGCTCTTCTCGTCATGCTTTAATTTTACATATACAGTGAGTTTACATATGCATCGCAGAAGGGCAAGCTAGTGAGATTTCATTGCCTTTGGAAGCATGTAACGCTAATTTAAGAATATGCTCTTGAACACACTTTCAATTAGTAATATTCTGCAATTTTTAAAATTAATACTTTTTTTTTAATCTAATGACCTGAGCCTTAATTCAGCATTTCCTTCCAAGATGCTCTACATAGAAAAGAAGTTTTTGCTTTTGAAAAATGATTTGTCTAACATAGTACTATACTTCCCTTCTATAGCCCTTACTTTGTCTTAAAGTGATTTACACTGACGTTCCCAATGATGAAAGAATGGGAGAATTTTTGTGCAAATTTTATGTGTTGTATGCTTTCTTGACTAAAGGAAATTATTCTGGACTGATATGGGGATTAATCCACGAATTGAAAGTTCTTCCCTTCAAGGCAGTGGCCGGCTGGTTATCGCCAGCTCTGAGCTGGTCTGGCCCAGTGGAATAACGATCGATTTCTTGACTGACAAGTTGTATTGGTGCGATGCCAAGCAGTCTGTGATTGAAATGGCCAATCTGGATGGTTCAAAACGCCAAAGACTTGCCCAGAACGATGTAGGTGAGGCTGTGGGATGGGTAATTTCTTCATCTTGACTGAGAGATGATGAGTGTTAAATTCAAAATGTGTTTATACACACATGTGTGTACGCACATGCGCGCGCACACACACACACACACACACACACACACACATTCTTATCCATACAATGAGAAGGAAATAGGTACAGACTTCTCCAAGGATTTATGAGCTCTAAGGATTATCTGAACATTGGAATATTGGACAAAAAAATGGTGACATATAATCATTTCTATTTGCCAAGATTTCAAAAAAATCAGAATGAAAATATTTAAAAATTTAAGACTTTGTTGAGAATAGGAACTTGGTTTAGCTGTAATTTTTCTTATGTTTTAGAAAATGTCATTTTATCACAGTGATACTATCATCTTCAGAGATTAATGAATATCTATTGATAACATGTGCAAAGATTAATATAATTTCCCCCTATTATACTTTCAGATTTTATATGGGTTAGCATGTATTTTCTTAAATATCTTTAAAACCCTGTAGTTATGGTAACTGTTAAGGGAGAAGTGCAAATGGTTACGAGATTCATGGAGAGATTCATTGTGACTCAGGGACATCTGCAAAGACAACGTTTGAAGTAGGCCATCTGGGAAACAGAGGGTGCTAAAACTTTATCATGTCAAGTAAGGCTGCAGAAATTGGTATTTGTATATTAGTATTGCCAAGATATGTTGATGAACTTGATTGTGAATGTACTAGGGAGCCATTGCATGTTCTTGAGCATGAAATGTATATAAGATTAGTATTTCAGGATAACCACTTAGGTAACAGTATAGGGTTGGATTGGAAATTTAGAGTGAAGAAAATCAGCCAAAAAACTACAAAAGTTGTCCAGACAACAGCTAATGAAGGCCTGAGTGAAAATATTGACGTTTAACAATAACATGGAGGACTAAAGTATTAAAAAGAAATCACTGTAAATAAAAAAATTAGGGAGATTTATTAACAGACTGGATATAGAAATGAGGGCCAGAGAGATGTTAAAGATGCTTTGGAGATTAAAAACTGGTAGGTTGGGAAGATAAAAACACATGATTTCTGTTTTTAAGAAGAAGCTAACAAACTAATAATCTGTATAATAATCTATATATTTATTTTGCCTGTTCTCTTTGGTTTTGGTGGTACTAGATCAAGATAAGTATAACAGAAAATTTTACATACTTCTAAGTTTTTGTTTTTTTTTTAAATTAAAGAGATGCTTCACAATACATGACAAGTTTGTGTACAATTAATTATAGACTTTCTTAGCAGATATTTATTGGATCATTACAGGAAGCAGATATACAGAGGAGACAAACAAATATTGTTCCTGTGAAGTCTGGGGGTCTAGTGGCAGGAACATACACTGTTAAAAACATACATCTTTCAAATAAATGTGAAATTGTAGCTTTGATATATGAGGGTACTAAGAGATTTGAACATTTCTATCCAGAATATAAAGACACAATATTCTAAACCAAGAATCATAGCAGAAATTTAAAAAAAAACAATTTGTATTTTTACTCTAATCCGTGACTAATGTAACTTCCTATTGAAGACCATTATCAATAATTGGAAATTAAGATGTCTAAATAACTATTTCCATCACTACAGTGCCATCTACAGGCTTGTCAACTGCCAGTTCAGGATTTATTTAGTTATTTATTTTTAATTGAATTTATTGGAGTGACATTGGTTCACAAAACCACACAGGTTTCACGAGGACAACTCAGCAAAACATCATCTACACACTGTATCACATGCCCATCGCCACAAGCAAAGTCTCTTCCTGTCGCCGTCCCCCCCACCCTTTGCCCCCCTCCACCTACTCCCCACCCCCTTTCCCTCTGGCAATCACTACACTAGATTTTTAATGTAAAGATTGAAAGAATTTACTCTTAATTTTAAATGCAATCATGGCTCTTCCATAACCAACACTTTAAAAGGATTATATGTTGTGTGGAGTATTTGTTGAAAAACTATAGCTATTTCTAACTCATATTACAACATGGATGAACTCAAAGGACATTATGCTAAATGAAACAAGCCAGCCACAAAAGATAACTATTATATGATGCCACTTATTTGAGGTATCTAGAATAGTCAGATTCACAGAAACAGAAGGTAGAGTAGGGGAAGGGAGAAATGAGAAGTTGTTGTTTAAGGGTATAGTTTTCATTTTACAAGATACAAAGTTTCCGGAATTTGGTTGCTCAGCAATGTGAGTGGGCTTAATCTACCACCACTGAACTATGTGCAAAGTAAGATGGTAAACACTGTGTCATGTGGGTTTTTTTCTTACCCAAATGAAAAAAACCCGACAGCTATATAAAAAAAAATTCCCTTCCTGCATTTTTGGCTTTAATTTGGGACAATGGGCTAGAGAGTAAAATTAATCTTAATGACCCTGCTCCGTAAGGATGGGTGGAGACTCACTGTCACCAGGACAAGCCGTTTGCATTTGCTTCCAGCAGAGAAAGACATTCATTCTGACCCACCAAACCCCTCGCTCACCTGCAAAGTCTGGCTGGGGAATGTGACTGGATGTGACTAGAGCTTCTAAACGTGTACCTTCTTAGCTTTAGTCTCTAATTACCTGAGATGGCCGATTACATTTCCCTGCTCACTAAATACTGGAAAATCTTATCAGAGCAATTTCAGTAGCAGAGAGAGGCGGGTTTAGTTGAAGTGGGTCAGAAGGGCCCATCTAGGGGTTGATAGCCATGAAAACAGAGGCAGCAGATAAGAAATGACTTTCACAAACTTTGACTGGAAGGAAAGAGACAAAAAGAAGCTGGGGGTGGGGTCAGGGGTGAGGAAGTGAAGATGGGAGAGACCTGAAGATACTCCTCAGTTACCGGAAAGAAGCTAGTAGAATGAGTGAATGGGATGTAAAGAAAGCGGGTAAGTGAACAAGGTGCCCGAGAAGGCAGGACAGAGAGCCCCAGGAGCCCAGCTCAGGGATTCATATTAGATAAAAGACGAGATGGGACAGGGGGCGGGCATCCAATGCAGGGAAAGGTGTGGATGGAGATGGGAATTCAAGGAGCCAGTTCCCTTAAGTTTTTAAATATCCTTACAACAACCTGTGAATGAGTGAACTGCTTATTACTGCCATTCCAAACAAGGAACTGAAGGCAAAGAGAGGTAAGATAACTTACTCAGGTTTAGTCTATAAGTAGTGACAATCACCGAACACACACATTGCCACCTGGCCTCCTTCCTCGTGGTGCTATTACAGGGTGGGACGAAAGTAGGTTTACAGTTATGCATAAGAAACATAACACAATAACTAATAAATAATACAAGAATAAATTCTGTGTTTTGCGTACTTAACCCTACTTTTGCCCCACCCTGTATGTTAATGAGCCCACATTCTCCAGTTCTCCAAACGCCGGAGGCTTCATGCCACCAGCTCCCATTCTCAGAGGAGGGTGCTCCATTGTGTGGTTTCGCCTCGATGCAGGTACCCTGGTTGTGGCTCGTACCTTGCTTAGCAGTGATATTAAAGAATGGATTTAATGTAGGGAGTGTGTATATGCTTCAAGCCTTGTCCTTTAAACAGTAGTCGCGGCAGAGACAAGATGTATGTAATGGGCTGGAACTTCTTCCAGGGCACCCGTTTGCTGTGGCCGTGTTTGAGGATCATGTGTGGTTCTCCGACTGGACTGAGCCATCGGTAATAAGGGTGAACAAGAGGACTGGCGAAAACAGGGTACGTCTCCGAGGCAGCATGCTGAAGCCCTCATCACTGGTTGTAGTTCATCCATTGGCCAAACCAGGTACACTGGACATGTCACACAGTCTTTCTTTGGCTGGAATCTGCAACTATTTTAATTGCTTGATGGCAGGGGATGAGGGGGGATGTTGCAGCTCTCACGAATCTAGGTAGATGTTAAGATTTCTTGAGATTTGGATTTTGTTTAAGACAGATTCTGGTAGTGAATTTGGGTTTTATTCTTCCAGTCTGTCTCTCTTTTTTCTCTCCTGGACAATTTTTACCTATCTGGTCCTTTTTAAAAGGTTCTTGGGTTAATGGCATTAAGGGTGGGGGTGAGGGAGGAACAATTTAGACGCTTGCCGTGGAAGCTTCTACCCCCCCCCCCCCCGAGTTCCGGGGAATGCACAGACAGAAGAAGCATCCAGTGTCTTTCTGGAACTCCTCTGTCCGAGTTGCCCTTTGTCAGTTTGACTAGATCGTGAGTTAGGAAATAGGAACCTCATCTGCCTAAAGAGCTTCTTGGACAAAAGTACTGGTTATACTCAATAAATAACTCATAAGGTAATAACATTCTGAGCTACTCTTACTGGCTCCTTGCAGGAACTCTTCTGAAATAGCTCTTGACACAGGCTCCATTTAGACACACTGAGTTTCTCTCCCCCAAAGCTGTACACTGTGATGTGTATCAACGCACCCTTCTGCTCTCTGAGCCCACGTGTGAACGCAGCTCTTTTCCCCGCTAGGAGCAGATCCCTGCTTATATCAAAATGGAGGCTGTGAACATATTTGCAAAGGGAAGCTGGGGACTGCCCTGTGTTCCTGTCGTGAAGGTTTTGTGAAAGCCCCAGATGGGAAAACGTGTCTGGCTCTACGTGCTCATCAGATGTCAGCAGGTAACATAATGAATCGTATAGCTAAATATCTTACCTTGGCTCAGGAGTATAGTTCTACTCTACACTGAACCATGCTTTTGCTGATTTTTAATACTGTATATAATTAAAAGCTCCTCTGCTTTTAGAGATGCCAAGTGTTGTTTTTTTCTTCTTATACTTTCTCTGATGAATTTGGGCTTCTTCTTAAAGACTAAATTCAATTGACTTCTTGTTGTAAAGTTAGTGAACAAAAGATAATATTCAAAGTGCAATATCCCAGCCCCCTATTTACGGTGGAGCAGCCCAGCCTTAGAAATAAATGCCAGTATTTTACCACTTCAGGGATTGTTCAGAGACATTTTATTTTATTATTTTTTTTATCATCACCTGAGGACATTTTTGCATTTATCTTCAGATAGAGCAGGAGGGAGAGAGGGAGGAAGAGAGAGAAACATTGACGTGAGAGAGACACATGGACTGGTTGCCACCCACACAACCCCAACCGGGACTGGGGACAAACTGCAACTAAGGTACGTGCCCTTAGCAGGAACTGAACCCGAGTCTCTCCAGTCCGTGGGCTGACGCTCTAACCGCTGAGCCAAACCAGCCAGGGCTAGAGACATTTTATTTAGAAGTTTATAGCCTCAATGTTGGAGGTGGTTATTTATAATGCCCCTGCCATGTGACTGGTCTTAGTATAGGAGGCAAAGTTCTTTCTAATGAATAACTTTAGGATATCAAACAAGTCTGAGGAATCCAACCTAAGATGGCAGTGATCACATTTTAAAAAACTATGACTTTGAGGAAGAGGAAGGAAGAGTCCATTGTGATGTCAGTCAGTAGTCCTGACTTGCTTCTTTTGAATGTGCATCTAAACAATTATGGTATATTTGGATTCGTCTCTTGATATCTCAGTACCAAAGATAATTTAAATTTTATTACAAAATTTTTTTAAATTTATATTCATCTGATAGGTAGGGTGTAAGTTAGGTGAAGGATTGATAGCAAATAAGTAGATCAATCTGTCCATGGACTGGAATTGGGTATTTTGGATTTTTAGAATTTTCTATTCATTGTTGCAATCTTTTTAGCTTCCGGTACCCTTTACACTCTTAAAAATGATTGAGAATCCCAAAGAGTTTTTGTTTATGTAAGATCTATCTATCATCTATCTATCTATCTAACTATCTATCTATATTTTTGTTGTTGTTAATCCTCACCTGAGGATATTCTTACATTGATTTTTAGATAGAGTGGAAGGGAAAGGGGGGGGGGAGAGAGAGAGAGAGAGAGAGAGAGAGAGACATTAATGTGAGAGAGACGCATTGATCGGTTGCCTTCCACACGACCCCAACTGGACAGGGGGCGAAACTGCCACCCACATACGTGTCCTTGGAATTGAACTTGCAACGTTTCAGTTCATGGGTTGATGCTCTAAGCACTGAGCCAAACTGACCAAGGCTATCTATCAATATTTATATTAGAAATTAAAAGTAAAAAAATTCTAAAAATATTAAAATTATACGAATACTCCATTGTATATGAGCATAACATATTTTTATGGAAATAAATGAAATAATTATATTTTCCCAAGTAAAAATATGCAGTTAGAAGAATGGCACTGGCTTTCTGTTACATCTTTAATGTCTGGATTAGTAGAGCAGCTAGATTCTCATCTGCTTGAAGGTTAAATCTGTTGCTGTGTTGTTTTGGTTGAAGCCTATGAAGAAAATTTGGCCTCACAGAGACACAGAGTTAGAAAAGGGAGGAATAGTTCATATCTTTTTCAGATGCCCCTTTTTGTATTTTTTATTCTATACTATGTCAGAACTATACAGTTGGTAGTTTCTTAGGGCTTAATTGTAATGTGGAAGCTAAAACCATATCAATGAACTTTTTTTGTCTTCTGACACATTAAAATTCAGTGGTCTGTTTTGTACTTTGAGTGGCTCTTCTACTTTGCATGATTTGTTAGCATTATGTTTTGGTCATTTGAAAATTTAGTTGAGTTACACAGATCTTTCCATTGTCACATTAATATAAAAATATCACATTAATTAATTATTATCATCAAACTCATCAGAAAAGCCTTTGAGTATTGGGATTTTTGTCAAACTCATGGGAGTAGAAAAATTTTCTAGAATTCTACTTTTTACTTTAAAGTTCAAATTTTATTATTGCCAACAAGTACTGTGAGTTGTTTTCCTTGAAGTGACAAGCTCACTTCATTCATTTTTCAAAATATGCCTGCCAATATCCAAGTGTTTATAACATAGTTTATCAGTCATTCTTTTAAGTAAAATCACATTCAGTGAAAAAAGAGACAAGTTTCAACTTGCAACCCAAAGAGCACACAAGTGATTTTCCTTCAGACAACCATCATAACTCAGTATTTTCAGAGATTAATAAAGTGTCTTATATGTTCTCCCCATTTTGTTATACAGAATATTAAAGAGCCAAATGTTCCATGGTCAAGATTTTTAAAAATTAATAATTCACACTCTTCATTATGGATCTTCTTAAGTGAAAGTGGAGTCTGTGTGTGTGAGTATGTGTATGAGTATGAGTCTGTGAGTGTGTGTGTCTGTATGAGTATGAGTCTGTGTATGTGAGTGAGTCTGTGTGTGTGTGTATGTGTATGTGTGTGAGTCTGTGTGTGTCAGCCTGTGTGTGAGTGAGTCTGTGTGTGTGTGTGTCTGTGTATGAGTGTGAGTCTGTGTGTGTGAGTCTGTGTATGTGTGTGAGTCTGTGTGTGTCAGCCTGTGTGTGAGTGTGTGAGTGAGTCTGTGAGTGTGAGTGTATGTGTGAGTGTGTGTATGAGTGAGTGTGTGTGTGGGAGTATGTGGCAGTGAAGACATGACTACTAGTAGAGTTTGGTACCATAGCCTTGATTCATGCTAAGGCACTGCATTTCTACCCATCGTTGCATTTGCCCATCAGTATCAGTGCAGACACAGTGAAAAAAGACAGATAACATCAAACTTATTTGCCTTTTATAAAAACAGTTTGACATTATGGACTCCATGCAATGGGACCCCAGGGATCCATGCAACATACTTAGAGAACTCACTTGGTGTTTAGGGGATCCATCTCTCCCATGTCTGGGAGGTTGCGTAGGTCCCACACCTCTATAAAATGATGGCTTGTTTCTGCCCCTCCACATTTCTAAAGACAAGAAAATCAGGCTAAAACCAGCATTGAGAACAGCTTAAAGAAGGAGTATGTATGGAAGGTCGGTTGGGAAAATCACCTCACTCATTTTCCCTTGTAATGGCAGTCTGTGATTTCAAGCTGAGTATTAATTCATTAAGGATTCTGGTATTTTACTCTTAGTATTTTTTATTAGTACCTAAAAAGGTCCTTTCTTCCCCTTTGGCTCCCCACTCCCTCGACCATCAGTTGCATGGGATGGTGTGGTACAGAAGGTGAAGTTTTCTAAGTCACCAAGACCCTGATAGTTTCTTTGAATGCTCTTACTATAAGAATGAGTATGAATTCACAACCAAAAAATAAATAAATAAATATAAATTAAATAAAACTTTTCTTGAATCATAAAAAATAAATTAATTTTATCTGTTGACCTTCAACAGGTAGTGAAGCGGATCTAAGTAATCAAGTAATGTCATCGGACATCTTATCCAGTAGTCAAGGGTTTGAAGATAATATTACAGAATCTCAACATACGCTGGTGGCTGAAATCATGGTGTCAGGTACGAATAGTGAGTTCTCCAGTACAGCTTTGATGCTGACAATTTCTACCCTACCAATTAGAGAGTCTGAATTATCTCTAAATTAATGTTGACTGAATCTACACAAAGCTAGTGAAACCAAACTTTGGACTCCAACTTTGGTCCTTCTCTTCTGAACCATGTGCCTGAGAAAGATGCCTCCATATTGAATTGAACATGAACTTTACTCATTGAGACTCTTTGGACTGAATCTTCTTGGAGGAACTCTAACTTGGGAACACAGGTGAAAAATAAGGCAGAACAGATTTGAGTGATTCCCTCTACACCTAGTATTTTTGGTCTTTGGCCCATCTAGCTGTACTTCCATTAGGGTGAAAGTAGATAGTAATTGATAAGAAAATACAGATTGTTTGCTTCAGCCGTTCCAGAAAGTCCACAAATAGCAAATGTTAGATTTTTTTCTTATATATGGTACATTTATCACCAAAATGATCAGTTATTGGCTCAGTATCAACAACTTAAGGGGACCTAATTCTTCTATATTCTATATTTACTCATGAGGTCAGTGGTTTTCAAACTGGATTCAGCTCAGTCGTAGGTCTTCTGAAAACCCTGCCCCTTCTCACTGTAGGTCTCTGCCCTTCAATCAGTACAGCTGAGTAAGACTGTAACAGTGTCTGTGACTAAAAATATGTTTGGAAACTGCACATTAGGACATTACACACACTTACCAAAGCTTTTGTGATCTGCAGGCTAGTTTGTTAATGTGTGAGTCCTTGGGACCTCTTACCTCCTCTTAAGTGTAGATTTTGATAAAATACAAAGAAGTAGATATTTTTAGTAATGATAATTTGTATGGAGCTTTAGAGTTTACCAGGTACTTTATCCCCTAATTTGATCTTTATCATAATGCATCATTTTACAGATTTGAAAACTAAAACTAAGCTACATGAAGTTAGTGACTTGACCAAAGATTTTAAAAAATTATGACCAAATAATTAATTCATGTCAAGAAAAAAAGTACTGAAAAACATTGTCACATTACGAATATTATTCATTTAACAACTATTTATTTGCCACACACCATGCTAAGTGCTAGGGATGCCGTGATGAGCTAAATATAGCCCAGTCTCCAAGGTCACAATCTGATGTGGAGTCAACAATATGATGGAATAAAACAATATAAGTATTAGCAGTCAAGAAAAACACTCAAAGTCACTAGGGATCCCTGGAGGTTCATAAAGCATATTTTGAAAGATTAATGTTTGGAGGACTCAAAGGCCAAGATGAATGACAGATAGTAAATTAGGCACATGGCAGGGATGCAGGAATGACGAAGTGGCCACAGATTTGGAATGCATGTATCACAGGCTATGATTGGCTTCTTATCTGGAGACTATACTCTGCCTTGTGCAGAATAGATGGAATTGATTGTCTTGGTGAAAAATATCTAATCTGTTCATACCTGGGTTGTGTTCTATTTTGCCTTTACTTATAAAGTTGTAGTTCTACCTGTGTTAGGCTAAAGTGTCTATACTAAAAGAGTTTCAAAACTCTGTACGGGATTTTAGGTTAATATATTTTTACTCCCCAATAACACACAGACTGATAGGTAGCGAGATATGTGAACAATATGACAAAGAGATTCAATCATAAAAAGTTTTATTGTCAGCCCTGGCTGGTTTGCTCATTGGTTAGAGTGTCAGCCCACAGACCAATGAGTTGCGGGTTCGATTCTGGTCAAGGGCATGTACCTCGGTTGCAGTTCATCCACGGCCCTGGTAGAGTCATGTGGGAGGCAACCTGTCGATGGGGCTCAATCACATCGATGTTTTTCTCTGTCTCTCTCTCTCTCCCTCTCTCCCACTCTATCTGATAATAAATAGAAAAGTATCCTCAGGTGAGAAATAAAAAAAAAAAAGTTTCATTGTCAAATTTACTAAAATCATGAATTACTTCAAATTCCTGAATAAAATTTAAAATTTGTAATGTGACCTGTTGGGCCTTAGATGAACTAGCCCTTACACACTTCACCAACCTAAGTGTGTGCCCTTCTGTCCTTGGCTTTCTGTGGCCGCGCCAGTCACCCCGGTCTTGCCTGTACGGGGCAGGTGCAGTGTTCCTGGCCCACAGTGCTCCTAACCCCTCCAAGTCCTGCAGATCCTCGGGCCTCGGCTGTTTGAGCTCTTGCTCAGATAAGGCGAGAGCTACTTCAGTTCTCTTAGAGCTAGGTATTGTGTCATGAATAGTGCTTATCATACCTGTACTTCAATAATTAATTATACAAGAAAGCAGAGCCCTTGTCTATGTTCTCCACCACTGTATTTTTGGCCCTTACTAGGGTCTGGCACATATTGGGGACTTTTGAATAAAATTATTAATTTTACCAATAGGCCCCAGAATCTTGTCTAGTGTGATAAGGCTCATTCTGTTTCAGGCTGGCACAGCATTCTTTTTTATCATCCTTATGTAGATATGCATGGTATTTTATAATTCTCAAAGGAGTTTTTGAAAATAATTTTCTTCTTCAAGCTCTTGCAACAGTCATGTGAAATAGACTGGACAAAAACTGTTACCTGCATTTTATTTATTATTTAAAAGAATTTCTTTTTCTTTATTGATTTTAGAGAGAGAAGAAAGGAGAGGGAGAGAGAGATAGAAACACCGATGAGAGAGCTCATTGAATGGCCACCTCCTGCATGCCCCCCACTGGGGATTTAGCCCACAACCTGGGTGTGTGCCCTGACCGGGAATCGAATTGGTGACCTCTTGGTGCAGGTGCAGGTGTCAACGCTCAACCACTGAGCCCCTGGCCGGGCCTGTCACCTGTATTTTGGAGGAGAGCAGTGTGAAGCCGAGGCATTCCTTCTCTCCACAGCTAGTTGGTGGCAGAAGAATTTTGGCTAAAGCCCACTCCTCCAACAACTGCATATCCATTGCTTTTCATTATGCAGAGCAGCCTTAGGGTTTGCAAGTTACCAAAGAATCCTGAATCATATCTAATTTAAGATCATTGCACAATGATTTAAAATGTCTTGAGTAATTAGATACTGTCCACCACACACTCTGAATAGCCTTGTGATTTGGAAACTAGTCCTCAGATAAATGTCGAATCAAATGGGTAATTGACTTAGTCTGAAGTTATCCATCTTTAAGAGTCACGAGTGACACATTACCAAGCAAGCCGGAAAAGTATGTGTTCCCACAAAAGAAATCTTCCTCAAATAGCTAAGCAAATCAAAAGCATTTACCCAATGTCTGCGTTCACGTGGCATCAAATCCTACTTTGATCATTTAACGTTCTTTAAATTTATGAGCAAGTTTGACCTCTTCTATACTCAGATGAGCAAACTTACTAGTGAATAGAGAGATGACAGTTTATATCCCGCTGTGGTATGTCAGATCACTCCAAACTCCACAAAGGAAGAGGCATTTGGAGAATGATTATATATATAAGTAGTTAAAGAAAGAAAAAACTTGCTCATGTTTATGGCTCAGCATGCAACTCTGTCCCCTGGGGCATTTGCATTTCAATGGCGTATGAAATGAAATGATCCATTTACAGCGTTTAGTTTATATGGCTCATGACTTTATAAAAGCGCCTTGAGGTTTGCAAGTCACTGCATAAATCTTGATAATAAACATATATTGTGACATACATATTCTATTATATATGAAACATAATTTTAGTAAATTGACAATAAATCTTCATGATTGAATCTCTTTGCCATCTTAGTACACAGAGCTCCGCGCTATATATTACTCTGTGTGTCTTTGAGGGATATGAATATATTGACCCCTTTTATGTCATAATGGTTGGGAATTCTCAAAGAAGCAATAAACCTTTTGAAATTTTAGTCCATTTACTCCTAGCAATTTTATCATTCAAATTTTAAATGCTTTTAAAAATTGTAAATAAGCTCACACTGGGCTGTTTGAACACCAAACAGTTTTTTAAGACTAAAGATTTGTTGAGAGCATGTAAATGGAAACATATGTCTTGCGGGTCCTTTAATATGGACATGGCTTCTAGACCAACAGTGTTTCTCTTTGGAGGCTAATCCATTCCAGAACTTGGAAAAGGACTCACTGGAATGTTCTGTAGAACCTAGAACATTGAAGCCTATTTTTAACTCTGCGGTCTGGAAATAACCTGAGGGGTTCTCTGTTTGCAGATGAAGATGACTGCAGTCCTGCGGGATGTGGTCCACACTCTCAGTGCGTTTCAGAGGGAGAAGTTGCCATGTGTCAGTGTTTGAGAGGATTTTCTGGGGATGGAAAAGTATGTTCTGGTAAGAGCAAAGGTCAATGCACATAATTGTGGAAAACAGTGAACCAGAAACATTTGATCAGATCCTATGGGTCCAAAATCTCCAGACAGACTTATATAATTAACAGGATTGAATAAATTATTTAGTATCAGCTAAAAAGATAATGGATGGCATGTATAGAAAATACAAAACATAACATGTTGTTACACTACATTAAGTTGATGTTAAACTTATATAATATATGCAGTTGACATCAAGGAGAATTTATAATTACTTTCAGAAGCATGAATTTGAGATAAGTCAAATTTATAAAATCAACAATTCCAATAAAAACACAGCCATTTTTCCCCCAAAAAGCTTAGGCCACACATTTTAGTTTAATAAATAGACTGTGATGGATAGGCTTCTATTTTATATTGATAGCCTCAAAGTTACAAGCCAGCGATTACTGTAAAAATCTCAGTCCTTATGGTCTGAAACTCTGGCACAAAGTGATTGATTTACACATACTTAGCTAATCACACATGTGAGAAATCTGTAAAAATTGATTAAGACAAACGTTACGGGTTTTCATTGCATTTGCAAACAGTCTCTGTAAATAGCTGAATGACCATATATAAGATTGTGCTTATTCTTTCCTGATATCCTCATTTATACCAGCATTGCCTATGTATTTCATTAGTTGATCATCTGCCCACAGATATAGATGAATGTGAGCTGGGTACCACAGTTTGCCCGCACCCCTCCTCCGAGTGCATCAATACTGAAGGTGGCCACGTTTGCCGGTGCTCAGAAGGCTACCAAGGAAACGGGACTCACTGTCTTGGTAAGAGTGTGTGTGCCAAGGTGAGTGGGTGGAGGCAGACCTCAGAGAATCACGAAAGGCTCTGGGTGTGGTAGGCCAAGAAAAGACAGGATATGACTGGGGTGACATACATGTTAAAACTAAAAGCGGAGTGTGTAATCTGTTCAAACTGACAGCTTTCAGTTCTTGGCACAGAGCCAGGTTTGTGTCCTCACGCTGTTCTAGTCAGTGACAGCACCCTGTGCAGTAATGGGCCCCTCTGTCTTTCTAGTTCTGTTCTCTGGGTTTCAGTGACGCTAGAGCTTCATCAGTGCTCCACACCTTGATCCCTGGCTGGTGCGGCTCAGCGGTCAGGCGTCGTCCCCTGGACTGAGGGATGTGCAGGAGGCAGCTGACCCGGTCCCACTCTCACATCAATGCTTCTCTTTCTCTCTCTCCTTTCCTCTCTCTCTAAAAAACAAAACAAACCCAATAAGATATTATAAAAACTAAAAATAATACTCCATACCTTGAGCCATCATGGGGGGAATTAAACAACATTTTCTTTGTCACTGAATTTGTCAGTTGATCAAAGGTGAACTGCAGAGCTGATACAGGCTTTACTGTGTGTGTGTGTGTGTGTGTGTGTGTGTGTGTGTGTGTGTGTGTAAAGGAAAGGAGGTACAGTTCTGTGAAAGGGCTTTTTGGGTGATTCATGATAATTTCAATAGATGAAAGACTTAAGCCACTGACATTTAATAACAAATAATGAGTGATTAAGACCTCTTTCCTAATCGCCACCCTCTGCCAAAGTCTGGGTGTGGCTTGTTGGGCGGGCGTTCGCTCAGTTGAACGTCTTATCGTCTTATCGCACTCGGGGTGTCAGTGGCACAGCATCACCCGACAGGTGAGGACCTGCCTGAAGCCATCCTGCCAGCAAAGTGGTTATCTGGACGTGCACAGGGCTTCAAAATGTTTCTGAGTATTTTCTCTTCCTTCTGAAACATAACAATCTTTTCACAGTGAGGGGCAGATACCCTGATAAGAAACTAAAATGGTATTGCTTTCTCCCACATATTGAGGTTAAAGATGAAATATCAGTCAGTTTTCTGGATCTGGTTGATTTAAATCAGACCTTTATCAGATTAGTTTTGTGGAGTCCACAGACATCTGTAAATGCTATTTTAAGCACATATTTGGCTGTCAGTCAGGAAAATGTCACTGCTTAATTAAGCAGGCTCATAGATAATTTAGACAAACAGGCTTTATATTTAATTTACTTTGAAGAGAAAGGAAGGCATACTTTCTTGAATGTTTAAACTCATTAGACTCTGGATTTTCACTCTGTTACTAACCCAGCTCCTTCCAGTAGCAAATATACCATGGGGTTGTCATGGCCTAGCCTGTCCCATAGAGGCAGTGAGCTTGTCCTGTCCTCTCCCCCTCCCTCCCTCTCCCCTTTGTCCCCCTCCCTCCCCCTCCCTCCTCCCTCCCTCTCTCCTTTGTCCCCCTCCCTCCCCCTCCTTTCCGCTTCCCTGTCTCCATCCCTCTCTCCTTCTCCATATCTATATACACATACATATATATTAGATAGATATAGATACAGTGCTATATAAAAGTTTTGTTATGCTTATTGTAAAGAGTAGTTGTGCTTCTTCTTGGCTGGGAGTATCTTTGTTGCTGCTTCTTGCAAAAGCTCTCTCTTACTCTCAAGGTGATAGTTCATAGAGATTGTGACAGGAAGTCAGTTTTTAAAAAGACTCCATTTGAGCCATTCAGGATGGCAATTCATTGGGGGCAGATACTTAATCAGCCTGTGCTAGTGCAGAGGCGCTGTACTGGGAACTGTGAGGAGTACCAAGATGACAAAGGCAGTTCTTGCTTGCAAGGAGAATGTGATCGAAAAGAAATACAGCTGTGATAAGTGGTGAAGAAAGGTATGCATTATAAGAGAAGTAAAAACTACAGTGGAAGTCCAGAACTGGAAGAAATATCAGTTTGAGGATTTGGGAAAGACTTCGTGGAGGAATCATTATTTTGGATGGACCTGAGGCATGAGCAAATTTTTCTCAGGCAGACACGTGAAGGGGTAGAAAATAGGCTGGCTGAGCACTACATGCGGGTTGGATGTGAGGGAAAGCAGAAACTGAGGCTGGTAAGGCGGTGCCCTTGTCTGCGGCACAGACTGGGTGGCCTACACAAGACATTTATTTTCTCTCAGTCCTGGAGGCTAGATGTCCCAGATCAAGGTGCAGGCTCCCTCGGCTCCTGGTAAGGACCCTCCCTGGCTTACAGATGGCTGCCTTCTTGCTGCACACACAGCCTGTTCTCTGTGGCTCATGGAGAGAGACAGAGAGAGAGAGAGAGAGAGAGAGAGAGAGAGAGAGAGAGAGATCTGGTGTCTCTTCCTCTTATAATGACACCAATCCTATTGGATCAGAGTCCCATTCTTACAACCTCATTTAACCTTGTAGGCCCTTTCTTGGAATACAGTCACAATGGGGGCTAGGGATTCAACATATGAATTTTGGGGGATACAATTAAGTACATCACAGGTGGGTTGGATACACTTGTGAGGACTAGAATCCGAGGGTTAGTCCTTGGGGTTTTACTTCTCTAAACCAGCACTGTCAATAAAAATATAATGTCAGTCACGTATGTAATTGACAATTTTCTAGTAGCCACATTAGAAAAAGTAAAAAGAAACAGGTGAAATTAATTTTAAATATATTGTATTTATCCCAAAATGTCCAACATATTAACATTGTAATACATAATCAATATAAAAAGTATTAAGATAATTTACATTCTTTCTCATTTTGGTGCAAAGTCTTCAAAATCTGGCCTGTGTTTGCACGCACAGCACCACGTGGACTAGCTGTGCCCAGGTGCTCAGCACAGGCCTGGGCTGCGGCCCTAGGCACACAGCCCCTGGCACCAGAAAGCATCTGAATGGAGCGGGGCAGTGATGGGAGGTGTGGTCCAGGAAGCATAACTGGGCACAGGTGTTCAGGAGTGGAGTGGGGGAGAGTGGGGTGCAGGGAGCCCAGTAAGGCTGTTCTTACGTTCTGTAAAATCGAAGAGAAGAGGGCTCTAAATGTGCGTGTGAGGGTAACTGAGAAAGAAAAAGGAGGGTAGCTGGGAAAGAAAGTGCTGACTCAGCTTATATTTATGTTAAAAAGGCCACGATGTGTTATTCGCTATGATCTGAACTTCTCCGTGTTTGCCTGGAGGTCGCTTACCAAGCTCCAACTTCCACACTGGGCTGCTTGTGTGGGGAAGCTCCCCTCCCTTGGAACAGTAGGAACATCATTCGCCTGTGTCAGGAGCTGGCCTGACCGGGCATGCAGCCTCACGGCCTGCTCATCTCTCCGCCAACATTCCTGATACACGTTTTGAATCTAAAAATGTGCAGGGCTCAGAGAACCTGCAGCATGACAGGAGTCCAAGAGGCTCCCCTTCTAGAACATTGGGCTATCCGATTGTATGACCCTCTTTCCTCCCCTATACCCCACTTTTCTCTTCCCTACCCCCTCTTTTTCTGGCAGATATCGACGAGTGCCAACTGGGTGTGCACACCTGTGGGGAAAATTCCACCTGTACAAACACGGAGGGAAACTACACCTGCGTGTGTGCCAGCAGCCTGCCTGAGCCCGGATGGATTTGCTCCGGTAGGTTGGTGGGTGATCTAGATCCAGGGGGAGGAACTTGATTCTGATTGATTCTGTACCCTTGTGTATCTACACTGGAGAGTCTAGAAATCAATTGGTTCCATCAGGCTGTTGTGTTTGTTTTTCCTGATTAGGTTAATGCTGGGTTTGAGAATGTGCAGTGGTCTGTTTTTTGTTTTTGTTTTTATATTTGATAGTATCCAGAATAGATCCATTTTTATTACTCAACAATTCAGTAAAGGTAGTCAGGTGGTGGTCTTTAACAATGCAGCTGATGTCCTGGTTTGTAATGTTGATTTCTCAAGCTGCTGAAGAAGCTCTACAGGGCCAGGCAGGTTGGGGAGGATGTCTGGACTTTTAGCATTTTGAATCACTTTCAGAGATTTAAAAATATCACTTCAAAAAGTCAGTATTTCTTGATGTGAATTAGAACTCCAGCTCTTTTTTCTTTCTTAAATGTTCATAACAGCCAACTTCTGCCTCTTGAACCCTCTCCCCATAACCCAGTAACTTCTCACCATCAGCACCCAAGCAGGGGGCTGGCTTCAAAGACCCTGGATCGGGGCTCTTTCCTGTTACTATTTATCCCAACAGATGTATCCTCAGCTCTGCGGGCAGAACACCTCCTAATAAAGAAAAGTTCTGCACTTGCTTGGGCCTTTATTTTTTCTAACAAATGACTTTCTCAAATAATTTGCTCTTCTTAAAGGTATTGGAAGACTGCTCATATTTACATAGTCAGCTACACACTCTAATGTTTTCCTTTAAAGAGCAGTGGACTGTTCAGTGAAAGGGACTTCACCACTTTGGCATTTCCTATGTATGGTAACATTTCCTCTCTCTCAGTGGGACTAGTCTTGTCTTTGAGGTTTTCCCTGAAAGATAGATAGTTTTTAGAAGAAATCATTGTGCGGGAGGAATTTCTCAGACTCCCAAAATACCGGGAGCAATGGGCTATGTATGGGTAGGTGGTTGATAAGCCATAAAGAGATACTGTGGTTCAGTGAGACCCTCTTAAAGCTAGCTGTCATTTCACACGGTGTGTGTTTGTGGATGACAGATGTGCTTTTATAATGAGATCAGTGACTCTGCATTCATTCGGTGCCTTAGGATTGACCATTCTCTTATTTGCCTTCAATATGCTCCATGTCAAAAAATCCTGAACCTAAAGAAAGAATGGGTCTCTTCTCGGTGAATAACATGAAGTCTGGTTAGGAAGGTGAAACTGTTGTTGCTCTGATAGTTCTGCTGTCACTAAAAGACACGATATCACAAATCATTCACAGAAACTAGTTCCTGATACTGGGACAGTTTCCCCTGCTATCCAAAAGCTGAAATGAAGTCAAGTGAAAGAGTGATTACTACCATTAATTTGTATAGAAAGTTTTTGCGCATTCCCAGACCCCCCAAATAACCTACCGAATCATATCAAATATGCTAAATTACACCCTCAGGGGCTCTTAGGCCTTTCTGATTCCTTGGGACGCATCTTGCTAACAGGTGCACAAAATAAACACAGATGACACCTTGATGCTCACAGGCAAGAGCTGTGGCGGCTTGATGCTGAGATGCGGACGGCGGTTCCCGGGGAAGGAGCTCGGCCACTCTCGCTGCTGGGGTGCTGAGGCCTCTCTGAGGGCTCCTGCAAAACCATGCTGGGCGCTATTTTCGCCTTTCTTCCTAAAAGTGAAAATCCTCTTCGGGTTTCTTTCGGTTCGAGAAATCAGGCACCAGTGTCATCTTTCCTCAGGTAGAGTGGAGGCTTGTACCTGAAGGATGCCGATGGCTTCAGGAAATAGAAGGGATGTCTTTGATTCTTCCAGACTCGACTCCACCCCCTCCTCTCAGGGAGGATGACCGCTCTTCCGTGAGAGACCGTCACGCAGAATGTCCGCCGTCCCACGCGGGGTACTGCCTCCACGGCGGTGTGTGCATGTACATTGAAGCTGTGGACCACTTCGCCTGCAAGTAAGTCCAGCCGCCTCGCCCGTGGCGCCCACAACTTCCAGCTGCTCTGTCAAGTTTATACGAAGGGGCATTTTCTGTAATTAGGTTTCTCCCGAGGGAAACATGTAAACGTGCAGGTATAAACTGTGTGTGTGTGTGTGTGTGTGTGTGTGTCCCATCTCACCTCGCACCCCCGCAGCTGCCAGTCCTAAATATAAACGCGAGGAATGGGTGATTTTCCCTCTTACTTAGATAACTTGATGTTCCTACTGGTACAGTCGGGGAATTCAACTTCTCATTCTGGTTGGAAAATTTAGATTTGTGAGGGAATTCCTTAAAACGTTGATTCGTTTTCTGTCCCATGTATGGAGAGCTTCCACGCTGTGTTTCAGAATTTACAAAAGTGCTGTATATATTCACACTGGACTTCTTGCCTTCAAGTCTCAAAACTCAAATATTTACATACATATATATATTTTTTCTTAATTTCCTAATAGTTGATGTTTACACTTTTGATGTTTCATGACAACTGCCGGACGCCGCCACTGCTGCCTTTGGCTCCCTTTTGTCCCCGCGATGATGTCACAGTGGGCAGTGTCAGCCTGACCCCTGTGAGCGGGACGCCCCCCTGCCGCATTCAGAATACCTTCCCCTTGGAGCCTTTCATAGAGAGACATCGCAGTGTCTATTCTGCTGCGATTTTACTTTTTGTTATGTTCATGTTTTGAAGGCAATATGAGGGAATCCATCGATTCTGAAATATAAATAGGCCTCCTAATGCTAGACTCCTGATTCACTAATTTTCTCTGTGCCCAAGGAAGGAGCGATAAAATATTCTGATTCTCATGAATAGATGCTAGAAGTTGGAAGGTTTTTATCACTGTATCAGTGGTAATCAGCAGAAACATAGTCTAAATTATGAGAAGAATTAAGTTATGTGTAGTGACAAATTGTATGGCCTTGCATTATAAATCGTTGTCAGCATGACAAGAATAATTAAAAATGCTCATGAATATTAGCAAAAATGACTCAGCTCTAATAAAAACCTGTTTTCATATTCATATTTGTGTGCTATAATTTTCTAACCTGAGATAAATCTAGTACTAGTTATTCTTGATTTTGACAATAAGAACCAAGTAGTTTTACCTGCTTATGGTTTCTTATTATCCCAAATAATGAAAGTATGAAAACAGATATCCTAGTTTATTAGGTCATCTTTTGTTTTTATAAAATATTTTATGATAATATGAAGGGTACTGAAGGGTTAGGTATTGCAATTAGTACATTGTGTTCATTTGGACCTGGTAGTGTCAATTAATTAAATGGTTTATAAACTTTAGCACTTTGCTTTTCTTTCTGTCATTAGAATATCACATTCCTCTGATAATGTTTTAAACAGACGTTACAAAATGACCAACAGGAAGGGGAAGGGGGGAACCACTGGGGGAAAAAAGGAGAATCATTTGTAACAAAAATTAATCAATAAAAAAAAAAACAAAAACAAAATGACCAACAGGAGACAAGACTCAAAAATACTCTCAACAATAAATAAAAATAAAATGAAATAAGCTAGGACTGGCTTTCATGTAAAAAAAAAAAAAAGCGATATTGAAAATATAACAAGAGTTCTCATCAATTTGGATCATAACTTTGTTTTTGAATTCTACATTTAATAAAACTGATTTAATCAGTCAACCCTTCCCTCTTCCTTCCTGGTGACCTCACCTTGTGTTTTTTTATCCTCACCCGAGGACATTTTTGTTGTTGTTGTTGTTCAGGTAGAGCGGGAGGGAGAGAGAGGAACAGAGAGAGAGAGAGAAACATCGATGTGAAAGGGACACATCGAGTGGCTGCCACCTGCACGACCGACCAGGGCCGGGGACAAACTGCAACTGAGGTACGCGCCCTTAGCGGGAACCGAACCCAGGTCTCTCAGGACCGCAGGCCGACGCTCTAATCGCTGAGCCAAACCGGCCAGGGCGTTTTTTTAAAATTCCATAGTGACACATCTCTAGGGAGCTTACCAGTCCACCCTTTATTAGAAACACTTCATAGGCAGCCTTCCACATAGAGTGTTCCCAATGCTGCGAACAGGTTTGTAAAGGGTGCTCTTTCTTTGCTTGGAAGATAGGGACCCCGGCTGTCTAGGGGTGCAGGAAGGGAGAAATGGAGTCTCCATGTGAGGGGCTTCCTCAGAGGTTCCCTGGACTGGAGACTCTCAAAAGATTCCAAGCCTTCTGAGCGCAGAAGCAGTCCTCACTTATTCTGGTTTGCCTCTGAGCCAACCCTCACCCTTCTGGGCAGCTCTTCAGACCGAGACCCCCCAGCGCTGCGCTGTGAACTGTCTCATGAAAAAAGGGTCACGTGGTCAAATCCTTTTGGAAAATGCTACATGCACTAGACTTCGATTCTTGATTCATGGCACACAACGTGTGAAAAAGTCTTCTTGGCCCTTATGTAGTCTAGACTTTCTTGAAATTATTTGACTGGGAAACTGAAATGTATTTGGCCATGGAATCTTTTGTTTTAAGAGAAGAACTCAATAACCCAAAGAACTAGTGGCGCGCAGGCCGCCCTCGTGAACTTGTGAAGTGCTGTCCCACGCTCTGGGTTCCTGTCAGCTCACAGAGGCTCTGATGCACAGCCTACCTTGGCCTCCAGGACCATCACCACATGCTTGGTATATTCCTTGAGACCCTAAAAATCTGAGAGTATTCGAAGTGTGGCCCATTAATATCCAACAGTTTAAAATTGTGTGCTGGGCATCGTTAGTAAATGGTTATAGATAGTCTATAACCAAAGATAGCTAGAATGAAAACAGAGTCCAGGGGAGGCTGGAATCACTTGGTAGACCTGTAAGCTTCCCACCCTCAGATCCTGCCATCTCTTGCCTGGTTGGTTCTAGAAGAACAGCTTGCAGAGGTGCATGTTGCTTAAAGCCCTTTTTGGAAGCAGCCCAGTGAGGTAGGAACATAGGCACTGAAACCGTTTGAATGGGACCTGCCGTTCCCTAGCTGAGTGACCTGGCACAAATTACTTCACCCCATTTGAGCCTCGCTTTCTTCATCTGTAAAATGGGAATAGGCCATCGAAAATAAGTAAAAGTGCCCAGCACAGTGTCAAACACATAAGGTGCTTAACAAAGGCTCTATCCCTTCTCTCCTATCTCTGAAAGTGACTCGCCAAAGCTCCTACGACCAACTCAAGGTAGAAGAGGGCAGACCTCGATTCAGGGGGATTCATCTAGTGCTTTTTTCATGCTGTCTCTTCCTACCATGGGGTCTGGTGTCAGTCCTCAGTTCTCATTCCTTCAAGTCCTTTGGAATAGGGTGGCTGCAAGAATAGACAGATAGCTGGTTCAGGGCCAAGAGGAAGAAATTCCTAACAGGTGAGCATCACAAAATATTTAGTAGGATATTTTTTTTTTTAAAATTTTTTATTTATTTATTTATTTTTTTGTTACAGATATTTTACCTTTTTACCCCATTGGCACCCCCCACCCCACCCCCCCTCCGCCCTGTCCCCGGCTTAGTTGTCCATGTCCATTGGTCATGCATACATGCATATAAGTTCTGTGGTTTATCTCTTCCCACCCCCCCACCCCCATCCCCTCTTCTGAGGGATGTCAGTCTGTGCCCTACTTCCATATGTCTGGGTCTAGTAGGATATTTTTTAAGTTTACACTCTGGTGAAGAATAATACACAGTCGGTGCAAGATGCCAGCAGTTTCTGGAAGCACGCCCCCCAGCACTCCCGGTAGATGGCAGCATTGTTTCATTTACTTTCATCGGAGGCTCCCAGGGTGCTGGTCGCTGCTGGTAACTCTGACGACCGTCTCACTGGCGAGGTAGCGGGGCGTCTGCCTGGAGCCCTCTTTCCCCTCCACTTAGTTCCCTCCTCGAAGAAAGCAGGCAAACGCGCGTGTTGCCCTGAAGGCGTTTCTCTTGGGCCCGTGGAGACTGAGAAAGATGTTTCCTCCGCAGACTAGGCTGCGTTCCTCGTTGGCGTTAGGGCGCAGCCGGGCCTCAGGCTCTGCGTTCACCTCCTCCTTCCGTAGACCTGAGATCTCATCACAATCTGGCCAAACCTTTGTTCGAAGCCGTCTCGGCTCCTAGGGCAAAGCTGCCTTGTGCTGGTCTTAAAGGTCGCTCCTCCGGATTTTAGCCCCCGAGTAAGTGATCGTGCATCGCTGCGCTGCGGAGCCTCGGAGCGGCCGCGGGGACCCCGCACCGGGCGGGGCGCTGTGGGCCGACCCGCCGGGCAGTCCGTGCGCCCCGCAGAGCTGGGTCTGGAAACGCCGAGGCTCGCAGGCGAGTCTGAAAGACAGAAAGACAGAAGCGTTTTGGCCTGACCTCTGTTTGTGTGTCGTCACAGCTGCGTTGTGGGCTTCGTCGGGGAGCGGTGTCAGCACAGAGACTTGAAGTGGTGGGAGCTGCGCCACGCGGGCCACGGGCGGCAGCGGAACATCACGGTGGCGGCCGTGTGCGTGGTGCTGCTCGTCCTGCTGCTGCTGCTGGGACTGTGGGGCGCGCACTACTACAGGTGACGCTTCTTTCCGCGGCCCCTCCCGGCCCCTGCCGGCCCCTCCCGGGACGCCTGCCTCCTTGAAAGGACGTCTGCACCCTCACCGCTCGTCCCAAGTGGGGTGACAGTGAAGGTCAGCCGCGCCTGGGGCAGGGTTTCCCTGCCCGGAGGCAGCAGTGGTTTTACTTTTCCTTCTTCCATTCCAGTCCTTGTCCACACACCTGTGCAGTTTATGGGGCTATTTAATGATTCATTTAAAACAAATTTGATCCACCCCCAAGTTTTTATTCATTTATTTTTGTTATAGATATTCCCCCCCACCAGACACTCTCCTCCCCATCCCCCCCATCCCAGCATTGTTGTCTATGTCCATTGGTTATGCACACATGCGTATAAGTTCTTTGGTATATCTTATCCATCATGGTGAATTTTTGTATTCCACTTTTTTTCTTGTACCTGTATCCACCCTCCCCCTCCCCCTCTCAGCCTGCACAACTGGAATTATTTTCATGGTTGCCTTCGATTGAGTTGATTTCCCACAAAGCAGTAACTTTTGTTCAAGCAAATCAGGATCATCCCCAACTTGAAAGGAAGTTTCTGGTCCTTGGAGTTTGTGTTTTCAATAATTTCAAGTTAAAAGTTAAAAACTGTGAAATAATACTTGTACATTTAGTTTTAAGGAGTTGACACCACCTTAGGGTGAGGGAATAGGCATCACAGTGCTGATTCTTTATTTTCTTAACAACTAGGACCGTACCCTCCACTACCCTCTATACTGAGAAGCCTTCTATGTATGTACTGTAGAGTTTGTGCTGTACAAAATCAGTGAGTCATAACACTTTGGGGCCGAAGGGAACTTGACTGAATTATCTAATTCGATCTCATCATTCTATGGCTGAAAAACCTAAGACCCACTTAACTTAGGTTCCAGTTCTCTGGGAACATACAGAATACCTGCCGATAAAAAGCCATCCTCACTTACTGTATTACGGAGAATTCAACATATCATTCAAGATGTGCTTGTCTGAGATCCTGCTGTATCCTGCCATAGTGGTTAAGAGTATGGGCTCTAGAGTCAGACGGCACAGGTTCAATTCCTAGTTCATGCTTAAACATTAGGAGCCCTGGCCAGCGTGGCTCAGCTGGTCGAACATCATCCTGTGCACCAAAAAGTAGCTGGCTTGATTCCTGGTCAGGGCACATGCCTGGGTTTCAGGCTCCATCCCTGGTGGGGACATGCAGGAGGCACCCGATTGATGTTTTGCTCTCACATTGATGGTTCTCTCTAGTTCTCTCCCTCTCCCTTTCTCTCTCTCTCAAAATCGATTTTTAAAAATCTTTAAATAACACTAGGCATGTTCCCTAACCCTTGTATTCATTAATTTTCTTTACTATAAAATGGGAACAAGAATAGTACTTAAGAAAAGAATTTAATGTAGGTCTGGCATTTGGGATGTATCTGTTGTTATTATGACTTTCCATGGACTGTAATTTCCCCCCAGAGTCACATGTTCCAAACCCTTTTCTATCTTGAGACATAAGATTTTCAGGCACAACTTGAAATCTTAATTCCCACTGAACTACATCAGTAACCATTGTACTTCGCAGCCTAGTATTCAATCACTACCTTGGATGTCTGTGGAAAGAATATTGAATAATCAGTGCTTTGTCCCATCGGACAGAATGCCAAAAGAAAAACAGATGCTTGACAAATAATGGTGTAGAAAAAATTGGGAGCGAGAAACATAAGTTTAAGTGTTTCATAATTATTAAATGTTTCTCATTCGATGTGCTATGGCATAGTAAGTATGTTTCACCTTCCGTTAATGTTCTTCGGAGCTCCGGACTGAAAGCCAAGGGCAGACCACAGCCTTTGCTTTTTTTTTTTTTTTTTTATATCCTCACCCGAGGACATTTTTCCATTTTTTGTTCAGATAGAGCGGGAGGGAGAGAGAGGAAGAGAGAGAGAGAGAAACATCGATGTGAAAGGGACACATCGAGGGGTCGCCACCCGCATGACCAACCAGGGCCGAGGACAAAAAGCAACCGAGGTACGTGCCCTTAGCGGGAACCGAACCCGGGTCCCTCCGGACCGCAGGCCGATGCTCTAACCGCTGAGCCAAACCGGCCAGGGCCAGCCTTTTCTTACTTAGATCTCAAAGACCAGCTCAGCTGAAAGATGACGATAAACTTCACACAGATAAGAATGTCTTCAGCCTCTGACGCCTGTATATCTAAAATCAAGTGATAAGGACTACTTCTTCCAAAAAGAAAACTCATCAGATCTCGTTTTTCTTTCTTTTGGCTGAAATGCATCCGGAGTTGTGAAATTTTTTTCTGAACAAATCTATGGTTATTTACTGAGCAGTTCTGGTCAGAGGACCTGCTTACACCACCACGAATTTTCAGCTATGTTCTTGACCACATTTGTACTGATAAGGTCAAATTAAACTGCTGTCTAAATATTGCCATGTCACTAAAGTATGCCATTGAGGTTTTTAAGTTCGGTGCCCTAAGTGACTTTCTTTGAAGAGTCAATTATTCCTTACTTTGTATCAGTCCTTGACGGTCTCATACAGATTGTGACACTGTTTGTCTCATATATCTCTCAAAAGATTGTTTGTAAAACTAAATACTTTTTAAAAGTATTGTATCTAGATTTTTTAAAATGACAGGAAGTATTCTGTCACAAACTGTAACTTTGCAACTTTAGAACTGATTGTAATCACCACTTCCTTCAATTATTTTCTTGACACCTTTGGTTAAAAATAGTAATAACCCTGGCCGGTTTGGCTCAGCGGTTGGAGCGTCGGCCTGCGGTACAGAGAGACCCGGGTTTGGTTCCCGCTAAGGGCACGTACCTCGGTTGCAGTTTGTCCCCGGCCCTGGTTGGTCGTGCGGGTGGCAGCCACTCGATGTGTTCCTTCACATCGATGTTTCTCTCTCTCTCTCTCTCTTCCTCTCTCTCCCTCCCGCTCTATCTGAACAAAAAATGGAAAAATGTCCTCGGGTGAGGATAAAAAAAAAAAAAAAATAGTAATAACCCCACACCGATTCCTGGAAACATCTGTTACATAAAATTCACAACGCCTGAGATGCGGCTTTCACGGCAGCTCCTACCTCTGTGTGCCCTTGTGCAGATGTCCAGGCAGGCCTGTTGGACTAGGGATGCCCTCCTAGAGGGAATTAGGCTGCTGTGGACCCAAGACAGCAGCGCTGTTTGGGAATCTTGAGGCTGGCTGGTGGTCTTCACCACATATCCTTTGTTGCCTTCACTCTACATTATATACATGATACATTATATCCGTCTCTCCCCCTCCAGATGCCACCGCTTTAATGCTCCCTCCCTTTCTCCCCACCCCCCTGCTGCATAACACCATGCATAGTATAGACTTAGTGCTTAATATTTATCAACCAAATAGCGTTTACAAAACTGCATTTGGGAGCAGGAGACCTAGTCTATTTCCTGGCTTGGCAGCTATGAGACAATGTGCTCTTGGACCTTCTGCTCCTCACGTTCTGTCACCTGTAGTGACTGTGGGCAGATCGCAGCGAGCCAATGGAAGGATCCCAGGCGCGGGGTTAGCCGTGTGCCTTGGGGAGTCACTGCTCTCTTCCAGCCCCACTGGCTTCACTTGTAAAATGGAGCTAATATAGTGTGTGTCACACAATTGCTCTGATGCTATTCCCATATAGACTGCCCTCCTCCCCACCAAGTTGTAAATCCATTAAGGTAGAGATTCTTTTGTTGTTGTTGTTTTGGTTGTTGTAGCCCTAGTACTAGGACAGTGCTGGGATATAGTTAGTGTTCAATAGCTATGCCCATGGTTGAGTGAATGCATGACTCCCTGTCCCCCTCCACTCTGCCCGCCCCCCAGTCTCACAGAACCTTGGAAAAAGTGAAACATCATCCGGAAAGTTCTGCAGAAAATAATGCCTTAAAAACCCAAAGTTGTGTTTCTAGTTTTCTTTTTCTTCTCTCCCATGCATTTTAAGTACCTAAATTTCAGTAGCCAACATAGTTGTCCCTGAGCATCACTGAGTGGGCTAGTGTTTTGCTTTGAGATGGTCTCACATTTTGTTTTATTGCAGGACTCAGAAGCTGCTAACGAAAAACCCAAAAAACCCTTATGAAGAGTCGAACGGAGAAGTGAGCGTTAGCAGACCTGCAGACAGAGAGGCTGGGATGTCCTCTGGCCCCCAACCTTGGGTAATGTGACCAAAGTACATGAAGCAAGAAATTGACTTTACATTAATGCCAGTTCATTTTTTTCTCTTTCTTCTGAGTTCAAAGAGAACTGGAGGCTGTTCTAGGTTCCAGTGGGTGTTAATATTAGCTGGTACCACAATAATGGGTGGGCCTGGGGGTGAGGAACTCTGCCCTTGGTTAAAGTAACCCAACAGGGTACAATAGTGCCATAATTTCATGGCACAATAAATTTATGCAATTTTTTTCATCATGTAGTTTCTTCCTATAATGTGGATTTTGATGTGTATGAGAAAAGCCTTTCCAAATTTCTAGGTGATCTTCTTTGGATGGATGTCTTAAAAACACAAGGTCATTCTCTTTGTTGTCTGCATATTTCTTTTCTCACAAACATTTTAAATCCCTGAACTTTAGAAGCAAAATAGCTGCCAGGTTTAGCAAATAAAAATACAGGACACCTAGTTCAATTCATACTAATACTGAAAGTTCAGATTTAAATTCCAATTTAAGCCCTGGCCGGTTTGGCTCAGCGGATGGAGCATTGGCCTGTGGACCAGAGAGATCTGGGTTTGGTTTTCGCTAGGGGCACCCCCCCCCCCCCAAAAAAAATCCAATTTAACCAGGTGTCCTGGGTTTTATCTGGCATCCCTGTGCATTCAAGTTCAGAATGCTTTCCAGATCACCCGCCTCAGTCATTGATCTTGAACACTAGAGGGCAGACTTGAGACAGGCTAAACACTTGAAACTCGGAATTTTTGTTTCCAGAAACCTGTCAGAGACGACCTGACTGGTTCACCGTGTGCTATTAGAAGTATTTGTGAGATAGATTGTGAAAGAGGCTGGAATATATGGAAGGTCCATGGGGGATTGAAACCTGTGGGAAAACAGGAAAAAGCTTATTAAGGAGAGGTTGTGGAGGAGCACAAAGGCACATTTTGGGGTCCTTCCCTCATCATTCTGCCCATTTCCCAGCCTCCATCTCATGTGTATTCCCAGAGAATAGCTTTCCTGTAGCTATGCCTTTTGCTAACAAGTGATCATTTGCCCTGCCTGTTGTAGGTATTCAGCATATACTTGTTTTCTGGTGGAGCTTGAGTATGGAAACATAATAAGAATGTGAATTCCAGCCTTCCCCTTCCATCGGTTGGCTGTCTAATTTTCAGCAGGTCACTCCACCCCTGCCTCCTCTTCAGGACACCCAGGGATTTGGATTAGATGAGCCCTAAGATTCCTTCTGTTTCTAGAGATTCCCAAAGTGTGTGATTCTGGGTGGACTTAGCTATAGAATGTCCTCAGTTTTTTGAGGGCTGATGACTTTGTAAATGATCTCCAGATTGCACCTGCCAGTCTAGATGGCATTTCATTCAGGTTTTGGGTAGCAATTTTAATTCTTCTGACTTAAATCATGGGAGAGAAGGAGACACACAATATGTGTGTTTCTGTTTGTTGTTGTTTTTTAAGGAATCAAAAACACTTGCCCTCATCATGAGCAGCTTGTTGGCTCAGAGCTGTGGTTGGTAGACTGGGGCTCCTGAGCTCAGTCCCTTCACTGTCATAACTGTCGCCGATGACAACTGCTGCTGCAGATATCAATGAGAATGGGGGAGAGCTGAGCTCCCAAACTAGGAGGAGAAACAGCAGAAGCAAATCTGGTTCTATTAGCTGCCGTCCGCATCTCAGCCCAGGATTCAAGGACCTGTGTTCTTCTCACAGAGACATGTGGTTGGAAAATTTGCAGTGCAGAGGGCTGAGTTTTGACTGGAATCAGAAATAATGTGGGTCACATATTGATTTTGCAGAATGTTGCTACAGGGAGTCCATTCATGAAGAGGAGGGTGATTGGTGTTGTGGAAAAGAAGAAAATGGAAACACATGTTCAGGGGATCCACTCTTCCATGATCAACGTTTCTCTTCCTAATCGATTCCACTCATCACTCCTTTCTACACTTTTCTCAAAGAGAAATATGAGCAGGGTTTTTCCACTCCCTCTTCCTCATTGTAGTTCTGAGCTATGGGCTCCTTCCTGGGGCGGGGGGGGGGGGGCATTTCTGAATCAGTGGAGCTTGACTGGCCAAAACCTTGGCAGTCCCTCTGGGTCACTGATGGGCACGAAAAGACTTTGCTGAACTGCATCCTGTATCCTGTATCCTGGGGTCACTTATTTTTTTTTTTTCTTTTTCTGTCATTGATTTATTTTAATACCCAGTTTATCTGGTGTGAATGTGAGCCTGTGAACTCTGGTGAGCCCCATGGCAAGGGCCGTATCATTTGTGGATAATGCAGATAATAACAAATATAATCATTTTGTGGACCAAAGAGAAATGTTTTCTGGATGTGCCTTTTAGAATTCTGGTTCCCATGCTGTTCAACCATAAAAAAACATTTGGTGGATCCCTGCAAATAGTAATTGCACTATTAGTTATTACTTACTACCCATGCATGACCCCAATTACTCAAAATTTGGCTGCATGTTTAAATGAATTTTATTGCCCTGGCTGGTTTGCTCAGTGGTTAGAGCACTGGCCCGTGGACCAGTGAGTCATGGGTTCAATTCCAGTCAAGGGCACGTACCTCGGTTGTGATTTGTCCCCATCCCTGGTTGGGGTCATGCGGGAGGCGGCCACTCAATGTGTCCCTTTCACATCAGTGTTTCTCTCTCTCTCTCCCTCGCACTCTATCTGACAAAAATGGAAAAATGTCCTCGGGTGAGGATAAAAAATAAATAAATAAAATGAATTTTATTAACTGAACACACACATTTGAAAGGTTGGAGCACAGGCATGTATGAGAGATTGCTTTTCTGGCCTGTTGGCAATGCTTAGAACACTCGTGGACTGTTGGATTGCTTAAAGTTAAACAGTAGCTCCCAGGGATCTATGACCCAAAAGTTGAGATTCTAAAATTAGGCTAGATCGTTCAGTAAAGGTATTGAAAGGACCTAGTTGCTTTAATAGAGAGTAATGTTAAGGTTCTGAATTAAAACTAAATTTTTCATTAGCCAGAGAAATAAATTCAACAGAACCTTTCCTTCAGCATTCACTTTCCCTAGGATGGGCATGAGGAAGCCATAGCCTCTGATTTCATGGGTGTTGGGATAATTTATGAATTATAACAATGTTCTCTGTCTCCCTCCCTTTTATTCTCTGCAGTTTGTGGTTATAAAGGAACAGCAGAATCTCAGGAATGAGGATCCACCCGTGGCCCCTCCAGACGGCCAGGCAGCAGATGCTGGCCGGTTCTCCTCCCTGGAGCCTGGTGAATGGTTATCTTTACCTCCGTCCTGAATGTTTTTTTTGAATGTTGAAAGTCTCATGTAAGCACAGAAACAGTAGGAAAGTTGGATAAGCTATGTGAGCAGCTGGACTGTTTTGGAATGCCATTGAGCTTCAGAGAAAGATACTTGGACTGGATTCCTGTCTTATGTGAGGTTACGATGTTCACTCAAAACTCCGGTCACAGAGCCGTCTGCTGGGTCCCTCTGGGCAAGCTCACAATGAGCGGACTCTTTGTTTTGAGTTAGGTTGGGTTTTGAGGTCATTCTTGGGGTTTGGGTTTCTATCAGTAGCTGTAGGTATAGTTCCAGTGACATTGTCAGTGGCTCCAAGAAAATGTGTTCCGTGTTCTAGAAGGAAATTGAGGTTAACGGGGTTTTCTACAACTCAGGGAGTATTCCAGTCTGATCAGGGCTAGCCCTCAGCTAGATGCCGGGACACCGTGAGGTCCAGCCAGGCCACTGCGAGTGGGACCACAGTCAGTCCAGGGCTTCGGGCTGCCCTGGTCTCAGTCCGCTCAGGTAGAAGCAGACTCAGAAATACTTTGACATACTACCTTCCACAAGAGTTGCATAAACGTCTTAGGTTTTGTTTCAGATATCAAAGTTGAGTTTCATAACTTAGAAAAGAAGATTGAAGATGCTTTGTATCAGAAGCCTTGGGGAAGTTTCAGAGAAACGTTGAGCCAACAAAAACCGTTCCTCTGCCAGTGTTTTCACTGCACTTTTGTTTTCTGATATGTGCCCTTCACAGATCTGCTTATTGCCACACCCCCTCCTCTGAAACTTACTCTAAATGTGCATATGTTGCCATGGAACCCCGTTCAGTAGAACAGTACTTCCTAATCTGGGGAAGACCCTGGATATTAAGGTACACTTAAGAATTGACAGTAGCCCTGGCTGGTTTGTCTCAGCGTTTAGAGCGTCGGCCCATGGACCAATGAGTTGTGGGTTCGATTCTGGCCAAGGGCACGTACCTTGGCCATGGTTGGGTATGTGGAAGGCAGCCACTCGAGGTGTCCCTTTCACGTCAAGGTTTCTCTCTCTCTCTCTTCCTCTCTCTCCCTCCCACTCTATCTGAACAAAAATGGAAAAATGTCCTCGGGTGAGGATAAAAAAAAAAAAAATAGAATTGACAGTAAACATTAGTGTTACATGTCCCATTACCAGTGTTGTTACCTGGATAATGAAAACATTCAACATTTCCAAAGGTTGCTTGGATTTTGCTGTTATTAGTAGCATAGTTGGAAAGTAATGGAATATCTTGCAGTTACATACTTTTTCTTGAAGAGCTAAAAACACATAATCCTTTGTGATAAAGGTAAATCACTCTATAGGCACATATAATATAATGTTGCAAGTTAACCAATCGCACAGTGATTGGGTTTCAACTCAGAAAAGACCCAAGGGCCCAGCTGAGAACTCAGGAACAGATTAGAATAGTTCTCTGCTCACTCGGCTGCACCCAGTTTGATCCATTCTCTGTGGGCCACCCACGTAACCGTCTCCCCGTCCGAGTGACCACACCCCCAGGCATGCCCAGCTGTCCCACAAATGCCTGCGGTGAAAGCGCATAGAGGTGGGAGGTGGAGGACAGAGTGGAGAATGAGACAAAAGATCAAGATTGGCTCTTCACCTGTTCCTTCTCTGCTCCTGGGGGCCCTGTTAAATCACAGGCTGTGCCAGTGGTGGACCAGTAGAGCCATAGTCACTGACCCCGCCAGCACCAGTGGGTGCAGAGTGAGTGCACGGGGAGAGGGGACAGGAATGCAGGTGCGCCAAGCCTGAGCTCCCCTCTTCCGCTCTCCAGTCGTCTGTGGTCCAGACGGGGGTGGGGGGCGAGGAAATACACAAACACACAGGGACAGTAAGAGCCATGTCAGGTAGCAGAGTCTTTTGATTCATCTCAAGCCACCAAAACTATTTTAATTAAAAAGAAATTGGGTCTAGAATGGTTTGGGAATGGGTTCATTTTGTGCCACGTTCTCAGGCCCATTCTCCAACCACTACTATTAGGGTCTGTCTGCTGAGATGGTGAATGATGTGAATTCTGATTTTTTTGTGTGTGTAGGGTCAGTGCAACCAGCACCGTGGAGGAAGGAGCCCCAGATGTGTGCGGACCCAGAGCATGGCAGCTGCGCCCCACCACCTGGTGCTACAGGCTCTGGTCCCCAGAGAAGGGAGTGTGACTCCTCTGGCCCCCACCGCGGGTCCCAGCCCATGGCTGCGGGGGTTGAGCAGCCTCATTCTCTCTGGTCGGCTAACTCATTATGGCAACAAAGGGCCAGGGATCCACCACTCCAAATGGAGCTGACTCAGTGAAAACTGGAATTTGCAAAGTAACAAACTGTACAAGGGGACAGTAAGACTTTGTTTCAAAAAGTAGAGGGAAAAATACAAATTTTGATTCCACAATCTTTACAACTGATCACCTGCTCAGCATCCTGAAAACAAACACGAGTTGTGTTTTTGCTTCTTCCTTCCAGCAGCCCCACTGCGGATTTTCAAGCCGGGGTGACTGGGAGAACCACCAGATAACTCACGAGAAACCAAGCGGGACAGTTTTGCTTTATAAATTGTGTTGTCATCAATAATCAGTACAGATAGATTATCTTGCCCCTGCAGCTCCAGAAGAAATCTGGGGTTCAAGCAGGCAATCATATTGGTTTGGGCAGTTATACCGTAATTTCTTTTATCTGGACAGAATATTTAGCTCAATCTCATGAAATAGAATATTGAAATGACTGTTATGATACATTGCAGGTATTTAATTTGTCACTTATCATTGAACTTATCCATGCTGGTAATTTTGAGGAATAAATTATGATAAATTAATGAAAGATGTACTCATTTATAACCTAATTTCTTCAGAATTAGATTACTTATTTTTTTCTATTTTAAAACCTTTGAATTAAAACATACCCAAGAGACTTTGATGCTTCTCAGTCACTGCTCTCCTCCACCCCTCTGAAGTTTTTTTCTAATGAAAATAGTAAATTTGCCCTTCATATGTTTGCACAGTATTTTTACTTATTTTCAAATGTGAGATTGTAAAGAAATTGTCAGATTTAATCTCATTACATACAGCAATCAATTTCTTCTAATTATTTAAATAAAATCACCATAAAACAAACATTTTATTGTACATCTGGTTAAGTAATAAGTCACAGTCTGTGGACATGTTAGATTTGAGTCAAAGTGATTCGCCAAGCTTGCTATTGTTACTCCTTTAAAAAAAAATAAAATTTCTTCAACTTCCTAAAGTAAATTTTTACATGGTGTTCTAAATAAGATTATTCTTGCAACCTAGGCATTGTTACTACAATTTACACAGCCTAACACAGAAACTGAGGTTGTTCAGGGCTTTGGAGGGTAGAGTTCCTGCATTAACGAGTCTTTGTTCATCTTTTCTTTCTTTTTCTTTTTCAATTTCCTGGACTTTGGTGATACCAGAAGTCAGCATAAAAATGAATTGAAGTACATCTCTTCAAGTGGATACCACTTAGAAATTTTGGTAGAGATTTGGTGGTGGGGAAGATCATTATATTAGGTAAATATTCAGTATAAGCCTTTTCCCTGGTTATTTAGATTTTTCTCTATTCAGTTTTGCGTTGACAGTTGATACCCTGGAGGATCTGAAGACCTATCTTTTATTTCTGAGTGAACTGACCTCAGAAGAACAATAGTCATCATTTTCCAAATTATAGGAAAATAATATTTCTAAGTGTTTTCTTTCAAGAATAGTTTTTTCTTTCAAAAGTAAGGATTTTTGAAGCTTTAAGGGTTTAGATTATATATAATATATTTGTATTTTAGCACCTTATTCTTTTAGGATTTCAAAGATAATCAAAGAGACCACCAGCCTCTTTCCTTTGAGCTTTTGAATGCATCTGCTACCTCCTGACCGGGCTCTAACACCAGCTCTGTCCTGCTCAGAGCAGAGGAAAAACTGCTTTGGATTCTTTCATCAGCAAATCACCATGAAGAGGTTGCTTCCTTTCGTGTGGCTCCAGGTCTCTATCAGAAATACCCTCCTTTAAACATTTATTTTTAGAAAGAGCATTTTCATCCAAGATATTTGATTTGCATTTTTTCCAGACTGAATATTCTTAGATCCTAACACTCACGATCTCATTGTGCATAATACCTGACTGTGATTCTATTTGATTAAATGTCACCTACTACATTTAAAATGAGCATCTGCCCCTCTTTGTAGCACCCAGTGAAGCCTGAGTACACTCCATTCTTTTGAAACCCTCTGGTTCTAGTTCTACCTATTCGCCTGAATCTCTAACTGATCCCTTTTCCTGTGAATAAATGATTACTGTATGTGGTCATTGAAAATATGTTAAAAGCACTAAATAATAAATTCTTTAAAAAAAACAACAGAACAAAACCCAAATCAAACAAAGAAACTGCGAAAAAGGGAAAATATCTAGTCAATTTAAGTATATGTGACAGCCAAGATTGCACTGTTGTTTTTTTGTTGTTGTTGTTGTTGTTTGTTTGTTTTGCTTTGCCTTTCTTCTTCATTGAAGGCCTTAAGTGAGAAAGGTGTCTCAGCATCGTTTCATCCTGAGCTCGTTAGCTCCAGGCACGCCAGAAGCAGAGCACTTTTCTGTTTGGAAGTTGACAAGGGATTCTGTAGCTAGCGGTCACATGCTAGGAACAACGTAGCCCAAAAGGAAAATATGCGAACCATTACACAAGATTAAATAGCCATCACTCATCTGAAACAGACTTTAGGAAGCACAGACATTTCTAAACAGGAATATTTCCTAGTGAGTGGTCATTTCCTCCCCACCCTTACGGTGACTATTTGGCCCTTCTGACATGGTTCAGTTTTCATCTCTGGTGGACCAAAAACCAAGCTAAGATGTTTGATGCTATCATGGTGAATACATGTCATTATACATTCGTCCCATAGAATGTACAACACAAAGACTGAACCTGAAGGTAAACTATGGACTTTGGGTGATAGTGATATGTCAACGTAAGTAAGTTCATCCATTATAACGAATGTACCACTCTGGTGGGGACGTGGCCGGTGGGGGAAGCTGTGTGGCGGCGACGGGGGTTTATGAGAACTATCTGTACTTTCTACTCAATTTTTCTGTTAACCTAAAACTACTCTAAAAAATAAAGTTATTTTTAAAAAGTTAAAAAAAAAAAAAGATGTGTCCCCCTCAACAAGCCTCCAGGAAGCATTCCAAACGAAGAGCTATAAATCCCAGACTAATGCCCAAATTATTTGGATTCTTATTTTTTTCATTTATACCATTCATCTGCCCAAATCACAGCAGTATAGTAAAACTGCTATGATTCAGAACCTTTAGGGAATCATCTTGAACAGAGTCAAGCGGTTGCACCGCGGTTTCATTCACTCCAACACGAGGCATCGTGTGTGTGGAACGATGCGAAGTCACAGCAAGAGGGATGCGAGCTAAGGGGCTCCTTCTACCCCCGAGGCAGTGAGACACTCAAGGCCCCCACTTCAAACTCCAAATATTCTTTGATCAATTTAAGATCACCCTCTTTCTCTACCATTGTATAAAACACGAGCATACTTGTTCATCTTCTTGATGACATGGGAGCCTCACTACCCATCAGCCGTAAAGCAGGCTGTTTGTGATGATCAGAGCGCCTCCCATGCATACTAGAGGGCCTACACCTCGAATCCAAATATTTTAACCTATTATTTGCATTACTTTTCTTGTGGATGGTCAAGTGGTCAGCTATCACGCCTCTGTCAATTACCTTCCATAGAAGCTCCTTATCACCTTCCTGGCTACTTCGGTTTTGTGAACTTGGTGTTCAGATAACCAAGCAAATTAGCATTGTAAGTAAAATGAGAGTAAACGTATATTGAAGGAGAGCTTAAAAACATTTCCCGAGTAGACGACATACATTTGAGGCCTTAAGCTTTTGGCATGTAGCATCTTCTTTCCCCCCTTATTGTTCTTAGCTGAATTCTGGAGGGATTCCAGCATAAGGGAGTGGTTGAGAAGATAACATAACTGGATTTGAATCCCATTGTGTCACTTACTAGTTTTGTTACTTTGTTCAAACTGCTTAATCTCTCTAAGTGTCAGTTTCCTCACCTGTACAATGGGGAGAATAACACGAATGTTGTCATAGGATGGTTGTGATGTTTTAGTGGAATGATGCACACACAGTGCTTAGCATAATGCTGATCATAAAACCAAATGGTATTATTGTTACTACTTTGCCCCTTCTAGAGATCCCTGTTGTAATAGTGTTAGCTTGCTCTATGATGGGTTTTTCTGTGTTGCTTCTAATCCAGGCAAGTGGTACACGACATGGGCACAGAGCAGAGCCCTAAACCCCTGGATCAGAATTTTAAGAGATACTATGCATAAATATCAAGAAAGATGAAATATTCAATTTGACTTTTACATTAAAATGATAATCACAGACATATATTTGGGACATGTGGTCATTTATTATCGACTTTTATATATTGGATAATGAAAATTGATGAGAACATTAATGACTATTAGTATGAGACAACACTGAAGTTTATATCTACATGAAACTGGAAAAAGTAATTTGTTTTTATCTAACTTTTTTGATAAGGCAAGGTGCTTATTATAAGCAGAAGAGGTCCTTGAGAAACTATCATAAGGCTTCTACTGAGAATCTCAGTTCAATTTCATAATTCAATAGTAATTAAATATCTCAAGTGTTACCAGAATAACCCCCTTGTCTATATTCTAGTGAGATAGTTCTGTAACATTTGTTGGTCACTGTTAAACCAAACAGAAGTACACTGTGGAATTTGTACACTTGTTTTAAATACTCATTAATTTGTTAGAGCTGGAGACAACAGCACAAGAGACAGGGAATGGCTTCTAAGAGGTAAGAAAATATATAATAAGAGTTCTAGAACCACTTGACTTCTGTCAACAGCAACTTTCTAAAAATGTTCACTATCATCACCTGATTTCTTTAGTATTTCCACTGTTGCCTCAATGGTAAGAAAACACCACCTAAAGAACTACGGTAATGTCGGGGCTGCAAATGAGCTTTTAAACCTTGATAGCCAAATCTCCATTTAGCTTACTTAGTTCTATAGATGTGGATATATATGATGGTTTGTATTGGGGTCAAAACGTCTTTGTATCTATGGAATTAAAATATTTTTCTCCAGAGTTCTATCTTACATTTGTATTGTGCCCTTTAGTTTACAAAGGATTTTTTCCCCATTATCTTATTTGACCTTATTAATTCTAACATCCAAACTATGAAGTTAGTGGGGCAGATATTCTTCCCATTTTACTTACTCTGAAAGATGATACCTGAAGCCTAAGGAGAGTGAAGATAAATAATAAAATGTACTACTAGAGATAAAAATTACCTCATAATGATAAAATGTTCAATTTGGTAGAAATATATTAAAATTTCAAATCATATAAACTTAATACCTAGCACCAAATATATAAAGCAAAAAATTGACAACTTACAAGAAGTATTGAAGAAAACATTGTCACAACAGGAGATTATACCATACTCCTAATTAGTAAACTCAAGAGACAAAAATTTAGTAAAGATATAGACGACTTTAAAGTAGAATTATTAGAATTGGATGTATATGGTACACATAGAAATCCATATTAATGTGTTAGTCTATAATGTAGCTTCAATAGTTTACACAAGACCACAAAAATGTAGTAATAGAGGCCATTTTCTCTGACCATAATGAGACTGAGTTAGAGTTAACTAATAAAGCAATAGTTAAACTGCTTGGAAATTACAAAACACTTTTAAATGGGTCAAAGAAGAAATCATAATAGAAATGAGAAAATACATAGGACTGAACAGTTGTGAAAATTCTATATGCTATAACTAATGTTATTTATATAACTTAAGTGGCATTGACAGGGAATTTTGTAGCTTTGTATTATATTATAAAGGAAAAAAGATAAAAAATTAACAAGTTAAGAAGCACTCAACCGAAGTTAAAAAAGAAAAGCAGACTAAATCTAAAGAAAGTATAAGCAAAGATATCATAAGAATAAGAACAGAATTTAATGAAATAGAAAAAAATATGAGTATCAAGAAAGCCAAAAGTTAGTTGTTTGAAAAAGTTAATAAACATTTGACAAGATTAATCAGAAAAAAAGAATAAGTAACTATATAATGTCATGTATGAAAAGGGCATACAACTACAGGTGTGGTAGCAATTTAAAAATAAGAAAAGAGTATGAATAACATTTTGAAGTATAATGGCCAA